CATCACACTGATTTTTGTCTCTGCAACTTTTTTTGGCAGAAAATATCATTTCTAGTTCAAAAATGCATAAAAACGTCGGAAATGGCTGAATATGTGAAAAATTTATCCATTTAGGCTTGAAAGGGTTAATTTGCCCTACCCCAAATACGTCTAAATATGCTAGTCTAACTTTGCCACTGTGACGTCACAAATCTAACCTGACTATCTCTGAGTTTATTGAAGAAAATGATACGTCTGACAAACAGCTTTCATTCCCTATATGGCACACCTTCTACTAAGAGTTGCATCATTGACTAAATCTAAGACAAAGGCCCTGTGTCCCGAGGATTTTGACTGAAATTTGGCCATTTTCGCCCAAATCTAACTAAATTGCAGTTTCCCTCACACCTGTATTTTGAAATAAATATTGCTACAATGTAGCAATTTAAAAATCACACATGCTTACTGTTTCTGTCGACCTGACACGTGTATCTAGCGTGTAAAAATGAAAAATCGCTACATTGTAGCAATTTCACTGAGATATGGGCCCTGAAAATCATGTAATTTTAGCAAAAAATGAAGAAATAACCTGCAATTTTGACGGAATTTCAGAGGGCTTTCTTTCATTCCAGACCCTCCACGGGCCTCTTATGACCATTCTTATACTCACACAATGGTTGAAAGTGATTTCAAATCATTGTTTGCCCTACGCAGAACGAAAAAATCGATTCTGTTCTCAAATTCTGCTAGAATATTGGTCTCTGGCCAACTAGCAGACAATTTTAGGCCTCATATTAAGGTATGAGTACCGTAATCCAACACCAAATTCGAAAATTCATAACAATACTTTGCACATATGGCGTTCGTGACCAACTATAAAACGCTTATCCCCCATAGTGTTATATATCAAAATGTACCTGTTCATATAGGGGTTCGATTGATCTACATCAAATTATAGGGAGTCAGGTTACTTTTTGAGATATCAGCGTCCTTTTATTGTGACTCGCGTTTGCTACCACTTCCTCAATTCTGATATGATGGGCAAACGCGTAGTAAACATGCTCCCGTCGGAACTATTTTTGACCTACATCGCTATTTTCGTAATTCAAATGAAAGTTGAACTCCTCCTCTTTATTTTGATACCAAATAGTGGCATACTAGGTACCCTAGAAGCCAACTATGGCGTTATTTAGAACAATACCACGAGTTTTTAAATGGACTATATAGGGGTCATACCTTTTGGCGGATGGATATGGAACCTCATACCATAACTGGCTCAAAGGTTACTCATAATTGATAAGAGAGTGGTTAAGTGATGATAAGCTATCTGTCTACTTCGTGGATGTTTCATTGTTATAGGTCAAAGGTTGATAACGAACTGATAAAACTGTGAAAAAGATAAATGCAGAACAATTTCGACCAATCACATGACTGGAATATACCAATTTGACCAATTATATTTGACACATACTTTATATGTTGCATAAGCTGTAGAAAAATCATGCCACTTTATATCACTGGTCAAAGGTTATGTGATAAGCTATCTATCCACTTCATGGATGTTTCATTGATATAGGTCAAAGGTTGATAACAAACTGATGAAACAGTAAATAAGATAACTGCAGAACCATTTCAACCAAACAGGTTTTAGCTTGCAGAATTATTTTAACCAATCAGAGTACAGTAATTTTTAACCAATCAGGTTTTGACTTGCAGAATCATTTTAACCAATCAGGGCACAGTATGTTTGGATTATTTTAACCAATTATGTTTAGAGTTTCAGAATAATTTTAACCAATCGGGTTGCGGTATATTCTCATCCAATCAGATAAAAGAAAATCACCCAATAGAGGAGAATTTCTGCACAATTTAACAAGTTCAGACAGGTATTGAATATTTATAACCAAAAAGTCTCCTGAGTTATTTTAGAATATTTTTAAATTGTCAAGTTGATCAATTTGTGCTAATTTTTTCTCCAAACGATTACTTGATTCTTACTTTGGAGTCATTTTAGAATATTTTTCCAATCTTCACGCTTCAGTGATTTTCGCTTATTTCTTGAGTTTGAGGTATTTAATCACCAAATGGACACAGTATTCTTACTCCCGATACATTTAAGAGCATTTTTACAATTTTCACGCTTGAGTGATTTTTGGTGATTCCTGGAGTTTGAGGCATTCTTTTACCAAACGATCACTTGATTCTTACTCCTGGGTCATTTTAAAGTATTTTTTGAAGTGTCACGTTTCGGCGATTTCAGTCACTGTTGATCGATTTCTGCTAATTTTTGGAGTTTAAGGCATTTTCACAAAATAGACACCCACCCACTATACAAAATAACACGCTTTAATAGGCATCTGTTAATTTAACATGCCACTGATAAAAATATAAACCCCTACAAGATAAATAATAAAAAATGCTAACGTTAACAGTTTTACAGCAGAACATTTTCGACCAATCAAAGTGTATATGCAAATGAGCTGCATTCTTTTACCAAACGATCACTTGATTCTTACTCCTGGGTCATTTTAAAGTATTTTTTGAAGTGTCACGTTTCGGCGATTTCAGTCACTGTTGATCGATTTCTGCTAATTTTTGGAGTTTAAGGCATTTTCACAAAATAGACACCCACCCACTATACAAAATAACACGCTTTAATAGGCATCTGTTAATTTAACATGCCACTGATAAAAATATAAACCCCTACAAGATAAATAATAAAAAATGCTAACGTTAACAGTTTTACAGCAGAACATTTTCGACCAATCAAAGTGTATATGCAAATGAGCTGCAGAACCATTTCAATCAATCAGATCAGATTATTGCACTCTTCGACCCCACCGCCGCCGCCGCCACCGCCGCCGCCGCCGCCGCCGCCACCGCCACCGCCGCCGCCGCCACCTTTTGTGCCTTTATCATATTTTATTCAACAGAGGGATGTATTAAAACTATATAAGTGAAAAGCAGGCTTGATTCATTCATTCAGCGCAACCTCATCTACGTGGCAACATGGATTATATTTGCTCCGTGTGTTCTGGCACATTTGCCAGGAAGGATATTCTTCTGAGACATATGAGAAACATTCACAAAAAAGATGAGACTAACTTCGATCTCGACTCACCTATACAGTTCAGGCATCCATTTACTAAAATTGTTGCAGGTCCTACTGGATGTGGAAAGACAACCTATGTTGTCGACCTTATTGATAGAGCCGAACAATTAATCAATCCACCACCACAAAGAATAGTATGGTTCTTCAAACAATGGCAGCCTTTGTATGCAGAAATAAAGAGAAAACAGCCTCATATCGAGTTTGTTATGGGACTTTGCGATGACTTGATGAAGCCCGATTACTTCGATGGAAATGTGACCAATTTGGTTGTGATAGATGACCTCATGGCGGACCTTAACAAGGCAGTTACATTGCTATACACAGCGGGTTCTCATCACAAAAATATATCCATTATCACGCTACAACAAAATATTTTCCCACCCAATGGAGAAAGCAGAACAATGAGCTTAAACAGCCATTACTTGGTTCTGTTCAAGAACCCGAGGGATCAAAGACAGATAAGTGTTTTGGCATCTCAAATGTATCCTGGAAAGACACATATTTTACTTGACATTTACAGACAAGCTACGGAAAATCCATTTGGTTACTTAGTGGTGGATCTGAAGCAAGAAACTGAAGATGGTTCGAGGCTTAAGCCTAATGCATTGCAGCAATCTGCAGAAAGTGTTCCATATACATCATTTCAACATTTTTATAACACGGCAGGGAGCTCCACTGCTCAACAGAGGCAAGATATGTCGGAATTCCGACCAAATACCATTGTTCAACCAACTCAGATGGATGCTACGTATCCAGGTCCAATGGATGATGCAGGCCTGTCAACTGTCCCGCAATTTGCGTATTTGTCACGCATTTGCTGAAGAATTTGAAGTCACGCCAGTTTTTTTTGCGTGACAGAAAATGTCACGCAAAATACGCATTTTACCTGGTAATTGTCAAGCAAAAATATTTCTGTAGAAATTTTTTCGAAATATGTTTACGATACGGTAAAAATACGAACGCCGGGAAAAACCGAACGCAATTTGTTCGGATTTGTCACGCGAATCCCGTATGTGTCACGCATGTTCATTGGAAATTTGTCGTACCTACCCCCCCCCCCCCCCCCCCCCCCCCCCCCCCCCGTTGACGATATCGCGAGCGTAGCGAGCGCGAAAAATTTGAGGTGTTCAAAGTTTGGCAAAGGTGCTCAAACTTTGGCCAAAGGTGTTTAAAAGTTGGCCAAAGGTGTTCAAAATTTGGACAAAAGTGTTCAGATTTGGACTTAGGTGTCCAACATTTTGAAGTCACTCATATTAGGTGGTCCCAAGTTGACAGCCCTGATGATGTTACTCTAAGAAACCCCTCCGTTTTACATCTCCCCCATTGTAAAGACTGTGGAACAGTGTTGATTACCACAAAACATGCAGACATACATCAAAAATATTGCCAATATGAAGACTCTGGTAAAAATGAACCCCATGCTGAAGATTTGAAGGAAAATTATACATTTTCTACTCTGAAGCAGAACGTGTTGGATGTATTGAAAAAAGAAGCTGACACTTTGTATGAAAAATACACTACCAGGGGATTACCAGAGAAGGAAATTACTCAAAAGCTCAAAGCAAAACTTTATCCCAAAGCAAAATCTGAGTTTTTAAATGACTATGGTGAAATTCTGAGGTTATTTATTGAAGTCAAAGATGCCGATGTACATCGAGAAATAGTAGAAGAAATTGAATTCTTAGTTGATCAAGACATGTCTCTGTCGAGAGCTATCAGAAAAACTTTGGCCAAATATTCTTATATCGCTGATGAAATGTTTAACGATGAAGCGTCTATTGACGGACATGATTCAGAAGATACAGATACATCTGGTGAGATGGAAGAAGAACGTAGTGAGATTTTGTGAATGAACGTTCCGTAGTCCCTTTTAGTCACTACGATGAGAATATAAAGAGAAACCTTAGACATGAGCATCATATATTTGAGAGAAACTGAGGAAGCAACAATGCCTAAGATAGTGCCTTATGTGGATGACCCAGAAGTGTGGAAGAAGTTTATACGAGCCCAGGTAGAAGGTAGAGTCATAGAACACGCTGGATATGGTAGGCGAGGAAAACTCAAGTGGATACCAGTGTCATCAGTCCGCGAACCAATTGTTCAACACGTCAGTCCCACTGAAGCTGTTTATCAGAGGGCAAAGGCAGAAATTGACAAGCAGCAGAAAGAAATGGCTGAACGGGATCTGCCATCAAAGAGAGTTTACAGACAAATGAGTGACAATGATTCCTTTGACCACACCTATAATGGAAATGTGATGAATAGACTTTTTAAGAAACCTAAGAAAAAGAGGGATGTTATGGTGTATTCTGGCCCACCTGGAAAACGTCAACGCAGACAGTGATCATCAACAATGGACTATGAAATAATTTGTATAAATGACAATATGTATATTAAATAAACAACTAAAGCACTAAAATGCATTTTACTGTTATTGTTGGGTTGTTGTTGATAGTGGCGGCTGTGGCGGCGGCGGCGGTGGCGGCGGTGGCGGCGGCGGTGGCGGCGGCGGCGGTGGGGTCGAAGAGTGCAATAATCTGATCTGATTGATTGAAATGGTTCTGCAGCTCATTTGCATATACACTTTGATTGGTCGAAAATGTTCTGCTGTAAAACTGTTAACGTTAGCATTTTTTATTATTTATCTTGTAGGGGTTTATATTTTTATCAGTGGCATGTTAAATTAACAGATGCCTATTAAAGCGTGTTATTTTGTATAGTGGGTGGGTGTCTATTTTGTGAAAATGCCTTAAACTCCAAAAATTAGCAGAAATCGATCAACAGTGACTGAAATCGCCGAAACGTGACACTTCAAAAAATACTTTAAAATGACCCAGGAGTAAGAATCAAGTGATCGTTTGGTAAAAGAATGCCTCAAACTCCAGGAATCACCAAAAATCACTCAAGCGTGAAAATTGTAAAAATGCTCTTAAATGTATCGGGAGTAAGAATACTGTGTCCATTTGGTGATTAAATACCTCAAACTCAAGAAATAAGCGAAAATCACTCAAGCGTGAAGATTGGAAAAATATTCTAAAATGACTCCAAAGTAAGAATCAAGTAATCGTTTGGAGAAAAAATTAGCACAAATTGATCAACTTGACAATTTAAAAATATTCTAAAATAACTCAGGAGACTTTTTGGTTATAAATATTCAATACCTGTCTGAACTTGTTAAATTGTGCAGAAATTCTCCTCTATTGGGTGATTTTCTTTTATCTGATTGGATGAGAATATACCGCAACCCGATTGGTTAAAATTATTCTGAAACTCTAAACATAATTGGTTAAAATAATCCAAACATACTGTGCCCTGATTGGTTAAAATGATTCTGCAAGTCAAAACCTGATTGGTTAAAAATTACTGTACTCTGATTGGTTAAAATAATTCTGCAAGCTAAAACCTGTTTGGTTGAAATGGTTCTGCAGTTATCTTATTTACTGTTTCATCAGTTTGTTATCAACCTTTGACCTATATTAATGAAACATCCATGAAGTGGATAGATAGCTTATCACATAACCTTTGACCAGTGATATAAAGTGGCATGATTTTTCTACAGCTTATGCAACATATAAAGTATGTGTCAAATATAATTGGTCAAATTGGTATATTCCAGTCATGTGATTGGTCGAAATTGTTCTGCATTTATCTTTTTCACAGTTTTATCAGTTCGTTATCAACCTTTGACCTATAACAATGAAACATCCACGAAGTAGACAGATAGCTTATCATCACTTAACCACTCTCTTATCAATTATGAGTAACCTTTGAGCCAGTTATGTCACTCCCAGTGCACCACCACGTGACCTTTGACATCACTTTCAGTGGAACGTGGAACACGTGACCTATGACGTCACTTCCGGTGGAAGTGGAAGTGAACACGTGACCTATGACGTCACTTCCGGTGGAAGTGGAATAGTGCAGGTGCAGGTAGGGGGTCGAAAGGCCCGCCATATACTACTCACTAGTTCACAGCATAAAATAAAGCAAAAAGCAGATGCAGGGCACCCTTGAGATAAACCTGACTTTAGTGGTATCCACTCGGAGAGCCAACCTCCAAAATTAATGCAGCTTAGCCCATTTGAATTAAGTGTTTTTATCCATTTGATAAAATCAGGACCAAAACCAAAAATTTGGAATGTGTCATACATTAACTCTTTATTTAAACTATCATACGCACGGGAATAATCCAGTGCTACAAGTACACCTTCATCGTCATTGTTACATAAATGTTCTATTACATCATCAATAAGTCTTAAAGCAGTAGCTGGTGTGCGACCTGGTATATATCCACATTGATCATGACTAATTATTTTTCCAATTACTTTTCTGAGCCTATTTGCTAATGATTTTGCTAAAATTTTATAATCAGTGTTTGTTAATGATATTGGTCTCCAACTTGGAAGACACTCCATTGGCAGACCTTTGCCTTTATATAATAAAGTAATTTCTCTTTGTCTTTGGGAAGTAGACAACTGTCCATTATTAAAACAATCATTTATAGCTGATACATAAAGTTCATTTATCTTGTTCCAAAAACATTTATAAAAACATGTAGTGAGTCCATCAAGACCTGGACTTGAAGTATTTGACATATTTTTGAGTGCCTGAGTACATTCAGCTTAAGTTATTTGTCCTTCACAATATTGCATTTCCTCTTCATTTAAAGAGGGCAGTACTACTCCATGTAAATATTCATTCAGTTTGTTTCTGGAGTAATTACTGTTTACACTAAAAATATTTTTATAATAGTTTACTTGAGCACCCATGATATCATTGGGATTGGTGTACAAATTATTTTCTACTCTACATGATTTCATTATTTTACTCTTTCCTCTGCTTTTTTCTAAACCTAAAAAATACTTGGAACTTTTTTCACCTTCTTCAGCCCATTGAACTTTTGCCCTTATTTGGGCACCTCTGGTTTCTACAGCTAAAATGTTATCATACATGAGTTTTAAGTGATTTGCTTGGTTTACCAGGTCTACATTTTGGGGATCTTTTGTTAACTTAATCGAAACATTTTTCAAAGATTTATTGATACCTTCTAAATTTTGTCGTTTCTCTTTAACTTTAGTTTTTCCATATTGAATACTGATTGATTGTACTTTGGATTTAAAATACTCCCATTTTTGTAATGATTGTAATTCTTCTAACTGGGTGATTTCTGTGACTAAATTGTTTACCATGTTTACATATACTATATCTTTTAAAAAACTATCATTGAATTTCCAATATGATTGCCCTCTTTTAAATTCACCGAAATCTAAGTGCATGTATATACCTTTATGATCTGAGTTTGGTACATTTAATATATCACAGGATTCAACATATTCAAAACAGGTTTCATTCGTAAAAATAAAATCAATTTTTCTCATTATTGCTTTTGATTTGTGCCTCCATGTATATTCTTTACAGTCGTCATGTTGTAATCGCCAAACATCGTTTAGTTTTAAACTTTCTACCATATTACTAAAGGCTTTGATTTCAATTTGACTGTGCATTTCACCACATATATTGTCTAATTTACTTAATGTACAGTTAAAATCACCTCCAATCAAAACAGATGATGCAAGTATATTTTTTTGATTTATAGTTCTGGTTACCTTTTTGAAGAAGTCAATTTTTTCCTTTGTTTGGTTTGGAGCATAGATATTAAAAATATACAATGGCTTATCAGAATATTGACATGAAATACCTAAAATTCTTGACTCAGCATGTATGACTTGCATATTTGATATTTCTGTACATTTATCACTAATTAAAATCATTTCACCTTTACTGTGCTTTGTTCCAGCATTATAAAACATTTGCCCTTTCCATTCTTTTTCCCATGTTTTTGCTACATCATCTGTAATAAATGATTCTTGTATACAGCAAATACCTATTTTATGCTTTTTCAAAAACTGAAAAAAAGTGAACCTGGTTCTTTTATTCCTTAATCCCCTTACATTTACACTTAAAACATTTACCATTTAATGTAAATAAAAGGTATATAATATAATCCACAGTCCTGCAACAACAGTGTGTTGCAATTCACATTCCATGTCCATAGCAGTAGGTTTTCCATAGATATGCTTGTTATATGAAAATAACAAATTAACCATTGTTGTCAATGTCTAGTATGATAGGGGATCCAAGCTTATTTTTCTTTGAGTCACTGTTCATTTCAAGGGGGCTTATATCTTTTCTCTTAAGATGCACTTTAAGAGAGGATTTTTGCTTAGTTGTAGAGTCACAACTGGCATTATCTGAGATGTTCTTAGCGGGGGTTGAAGTATTTTGGTGGCACTCAGCCAAGAACTTATCTGCCATTTTCATGGCATCTGGTGAAGATATGTTTATGTTTATTTATTATTTGAAATACACACAAAATACAATAGGCTTATATGAACTGGGTGACACTTTAAAAAGTGTATATTCCCAATATTAGACAAAATAATACATGTGTGTTGTCATACCTATTAAATGCAGTTGGGGACCTGCCTATGTATTCATCTATTTGAACGAAAGTATTGGTTTGTCACATCATAATAGACCAAATGAGGTAAAGTTTTGGCATAATGTCAAAAGTGTTCTTGAAAACAATTATACCAATGAGTGCAAATATACTTACAATGTAGTTTGAACATGATTTGGAACAGAGGCAAAATCAGGGGGTACAGCAGAGCTTATAGGAAATATAAGTCAGTTTAGTAAAAAAAAAAAAAAAAAAAAAAAAAAACAGAAGATATTGAGCTATCTTCTGGTTGAAGGGCACGTGTTATGAGCTTCTCTGCTATTTTGGCACCACTCTCTGCACTCTTAGTTGTTGGTTCTTGCGGCTTTGTCTGTTCCTGGACCTTCTGACGACCTGTTGTTTCCATCGGGCATGCCGATTTCCGGTGTCCATCAATACCACATTTCCAGCAAGTGATTTTTGGCTTCGTTGTTTCATCGGATGTTCTCAGAAGACATTCTGATTTGCGATGACCTTCCAAACCACATTGGAAGCACTTTGGTTTTGATCTTTTTGGGCAGTCATTGATATTATGATCGCCTCTGCAATGTGGACAGTTGATTTCTTGTCCATCGTGATATATTACTCTGTCTATTTCGATTAGCTCTGGAGGATTGAAGGGGTTGGGTATTGTGTAGTCTAAATATCTAGGTTGCGATTTGACTATTTTTCTCACATAACAAAACCTATGCCCTGTGAGTACACTGTGTCGTGTTCCATTAGTCGCTCTTCTGCTGTGGAATTTCACGTCTGAGGTACGTTCTGCAAATGAGTCCACCCACTGCTCAATTTCCGAGTTGGAAACATGAAGTGGTATACCATGTATTGATACTCGTGTGGAGTTTCGTCCTGCTCCAAACGATGCGCTGGGTGTTGCGAAGTAGTCACTTATTTTGAACTGCTTTCCATTGACGCATAAAGAGCCAAGAGATAATAAGTTGGCTTTTGTTCCAAGACTGTCAGTATAAATTATGTAGGAGCCACTGAATAGTTGCACACCAATTATATTGTCTCTTTTTATTACATCCGGTCGAATTCTATCATCAGCCTGTGATATAAGTTTGTCAAGTAGTTCATATTCATTCATTCTGCCCATTCCTCTGGCTTCTAGCTTAACCCATAGTTCTGTGTTTTTAACAATATTCTCCATGTTTGAGATGGTCCCTTACTTGTGTATGTTGATATAGAGAAGTGGCTATTTAGTGTTTATACAGAGCCACATAATAGGCTTAAACAATGTTTATGTGTATATGTAATCTGCAGTAATATTGCTCAGCTATATTTACTTACATACAAAAAAGTTGAAGTCCAAAATATATCCAAATATTTGACGGTTTTAATCCAAAGTTGCTGTATTATGGCCTCTAGTCCTTTATACACAAGTGTATGTAGTTAGAATCCTATATAAATCTCACTATGTTGTCAAAAATGAGCAAATAAGAAACTTTTCCAGGAGCTCCAAAAAAAAGTATGGCTACTCCATTTCAGGGGTCGTCTCAGCAGTCAAGTTATAAACTAAGCTCTCTTTTGAGAAGCAAGTCGAACTAATGCAAAGGGTAACATAAATGCGGAGTGGTGCCTGGCCACCCATACACCTTTTGTTGGTCTAAGTAGTCTATAGAGGCGTTCATTAGACCAGCTTTATTGTGTGAACGAAGAATATTTTGTCGAAGAAAAACGTATAAACAACTATAGCGACGAAAAATCTTCGGTCTCTGAACAGAAAACTGGATGATTTTGCCTCACCCAATCTTGCACCAGTTTTCTGCTCTGTGAGGCCGAGGATTAAATCATCCGCTAATTTAGTTGGCTAATATACTAGTAATTGAATTGATGACAATAGAAATCCGTGGTATAAAAAGAAATGTTGACGAAGATACAGAAAATAACACCTATCAGCGCAAGCATTGGAATGACACAATATTTGAAGAAATTACAACATTTAAAAGCAACAAAACGAAATCTGTTTTACTATTTTAACTTTATTACAAAAATGTCCCTTAATTTGAAGAAGGGTCGTATGGTACAAAGAGGACATCTTAACCCTAGTGTGGGTTTATATAATATTTTTAATAACAAATTATCGCAAACATTCAAATCGAACTTGGCAATAGATATTGATAGTTGGATTTTAGTACATCATATTGTATACAAATCTTCCTTTGAGGACATATTCAACCCAACTTTTGGTTACTTTTCGTATTACATAACAAAAATTGATGCAAACATTCAAATCTAGCTTGGCTGTTTTTACATAACCCTGTACTTGGAAAGTATTTTCGTGGAGTGCTAGTATTTACAATTGTTGAGTACACATACAGGGTGTCCATGTCTCTTTACAATCACAATACAAAGTCTGTGTAAAGTGTAGAGACTCCAAGGACATCCTGTATTTTGCGGTGCCTGGAAATTAGAAAAAATTGCAGAAAATCTCATTGGTAGTTTTACTTGGTATAAAGAGATCATGTGTTTATTATATGAGTGACAGAAACTTATTCAGTGTACCCACCCCCATACACCAATTGTTAGATTTGAATGTTTGTATTTTGACAAAGGAGTACTCCATTCCCATGATAATCAGATCCTCTTGATGCCACCAACCAATCAGATCAAATGTATGTGATGCAATTAACATGGGATTGTCACACCTCCTTTGTTTTAACTACACCAGCGCAATATCACACACAATAACAGACATACTGCAGGCACCCATGTGTCATAATGGAGCAAAATGAAATAGGCCACTGAAAATAATCTTATTTATCTTTTTGAAAATGTACAGAGATACAATATTATTTCTTGTGGCCTAACGATTACAACTACAAGTAGTTCTTCCTGTTAATGCAAAAGTTCAAATTCAAAAATTAATTGATCCCCCTCATCAGGTATATTGGGGCAACCTGGTGCTGCCCTCTGTTGACCAGAGTCAATATTACAAAATTACTTCACACTCTAAGTTCAAACAATGTGCAAAGAGCCAAAAATCCATTGAAAATACAAGGAAACAACCTCTTTGAGATATAACTTTAAACAATGCACTGACAAGAAGAACTCCAGAGTTTCATGATAAACTTGGTGAAAAAGCACCATATATAAATGATTTCATTAATAAAGCAAGGTTTACTTGAGACATACTATGTGCCAACCAGGCTAAACACATTACAATATATGAAACAATCAATTGTATTGTATAGAAAAATAAATACAGTAATGTTGCTTTCTTGGTGAGCTTGGACGTTGAGCACATAGTATGTGGGATGCATTCGAAATATTCCATACATGCATATATTAGTATTTGCTTTACAGATATGAGAAATGCATGAGTATGTTCAAAATACAGTTTCAGCACGTTTACAGTCATCATCAGTTCATAAGTATACATTGACTTGCATTGATCATTCATAATCACACATTGGCGTGTCATTGGCACACATTCATTGATACATCACTGACACACATTCATTGATGTGTCGCTGACACACATTCATTGGCATGTCATTGACACACATTAATTGTTTAGTCATTGACCCACATCAACATTCGTTTTTGTGTTATCGATGCACATTAATTGATATGTCATTGACACACATTCACTGATGTGTCATTGGCACACATTTATTGATGTGTCATTGGCACACATTTATTGATGTGTCATTGGCACACATTAATTGATATGTCATTGACACACATTCACTGATGTGTCATTGACACACATTTATTAATGTGTCACACATATTCATAATAATACTGCATTCATGATTGGAGAATATACACTGAGAATACATCCCTGTTGACTTGACAAGAAAATGGAGATCTTGATACATTGCACACAAATGAAAACCCTTGAAAGCACATGAGAATTCAAAATTGGCAAACCTTTTGATGGATTCCAACTCCTACATAAGTCTGAATTGAAACTACTTCCATTTTCAGTAAACTTTTCAATTTTGTACTGTTTTACAAATTGTCTTCAAAAAGCACAGGGAAGATGTGACAGTAAATATTCATTTGAGAGCAATGTGACTAGTTCTCCTGAGAATCACTTGGAATCATTAAATGTCAAAGAGAATCTGAATGAACAATTTGACAATTTGATAATTGGAAATCTTGAATATACATTTTGGCAATAATGTTTTGACAATGAACCAAATATGAAGTTTCTCATCCAAACTTTACTTCATTTCTCCATCTTCGTTAGATTAAAAGAGGTCATTCAAAAGGTTCCGAGAAACATATTAAATAGTAATTTCATAAACCTACTGAATAGCATAAATCTGTATATAATCAGAATTCAAATGGTGAATCTAACAAATGAAAATGCACTTTAAGTTAACTATGATAAATTGAGATCTGCATTTCTGAGATACATCTATTGTGAGATGATTAAGGCAGCTGAAGCAAAGTTTGAAAGAGGAATTTCCCTGAGCAGTTACAGTAACTTAACGTCTTGCCCTTTAAAGTACTTCAAACTAGGTCCATATTACCCTACAGTAACTTGACATTTTCACAATGAAACATAAAAAGTTACTTTCAAGAATTTGAGTACATGTATTTGTTAATATATTCATATTGTAATTATGTCATTTGAACATCAGCTATGAATTGTGTAAATGCATTCTGTATTATGAAAACTAAACTGCAGGAGTTCAATTTGGCAAAGGTCAATCATCCAAAATGACAAACCTGAAAGTAATATAAGACATATTTGGAAGTATTTGAGAGGGCAGACCTTTAATAGGCACAGCTAGCTAGAATACTTTGCAATATCAGCTTTTTATGATATTAAATAACTTTTTGGCAATATAAAATTGATTCCTGAGTTTCAGCATAACAATAATTCAGTTGTAGCAAGTATTCTAGCTTTATTTCATTGCATTTAGATCACAGAATCAGTCCAGTGTTAAATATGAAACATGTAGTCCATGAGAATGTCTAATTTTCTCTTGGGGATGGCATTCGTAACATTTCTTTTCTTAGTCCAAATCCATACATTTTATTTGCATAATGTGATAAGACCAAGATTTTCAGCATTCAATTAAACTTTGTGTATGTTTCACAGAGCCACCTGACAAAAAGGGGCTATTTTAATGCTGATTGAATGATACCCCCTCTAGGGGCTAATAATACCCCTCTAGGGGCTAATGATACCCCTCTAGGGACTAATTGAGTATGTAAATGAGATGATGTGTCATGATATCATAATCGCAAACGTCTCATACATACACTTGCTTCATTCGCGCATTTAATGTTTACACTCGCGCACATTATTCACTAACAAGTCATTCAGACAGTCAGTCAGACTAACACATCTCTAGACATTCCACACATGTGGCGTCTCATCTCCACACATGTGGGGTCTCACAGCTCTTCTATTGTCACTAAGCCTTTTCCTGGCTTCTTCTCCTTCCCACAGTATCTGGAAAAGAAAATGATATTATATTCTTAAAATTCAACATTCTCTTGATCAGCTGATAATTCCATTGCGTTTCTTTCATTTTAAGAAGTTTTCATGTTAGATTGCATTTCTATTTTATCTCCACCTTTCATTTGGTACAATTTTAGGATGGGAACAACAATGATTTGACCACTTCAAGCATTATATTACTTATTTAACATTCACATTATTGTGGAAATAATAATTTACCGAGAATCAAATTCATGAAGCAATTTTTACAAACTTTTAACTTCTGAAAAGCATGATAGTGTTTAATACATAAGGCATCTTACATTGGACACCACTCAAGCAAATTGGTCAAATATAAACATAGGAATATACATTTGAAAAGTCCCTACTCCCAGTACGAAATAGTAAATCAAATACCTCCCTCTTGGAAAGCACTGCATGTCCAGTTTCCAACCCTCCCCAAGTGGGTGGTCTTATTCAAACCTTTGAATGGTGAATTATTAACAAGGATGAGAAACAGCAAATCCAAAACAGGACTTGTGAATGTTCACTCACCAAGACTGTGCATTCTTTAATTTCCTAGCCTCCTTGGTGGCCCAGTTGGCCAGTGACTTAGCCTTGTTGGTCTTAGACCTGCGTCCCTTGGTTAGCACAGATTGGATCACTTCTTTCTCTACCATTGGCAGGATAGTGGGTCCAAATGCCACCAGTAGATCACTGAAAATGTGATGGATCCATTGTATTATAATATAGCCATCAGTTCCTAATCATCTCATATTCTGTGTATTCCTTCATATACACCCATTTTTGTAGATTTCCTTTGAAGTAAGGTAAGACTTAACCAAACTGGCTATTCAAAATATTCAAATTATTAGATTTTATCATCAACATTATTCAGTTTGACAAAGTCATTTCTAAAACTGACACCTTTATGTCTTTCCTGCTCTAAACATCATCAGCTGTAAAAAATTAAACACAGCCTGGTCTTAGAATTGCATAGCTTAGCACATTATGTCACAACCTACCACATCATGTCACAGCTTACCCCATTATGTCACAACTAACCACATCATGTCACAGCTTACCACATTATGTCACAACTTACCACATTATGTCACAGCTTACCACATTATGTCACAACTTACCACATAATGTCACAGCTTACCACATAATGTCACAGCTTACCCCATTATGTCACAACTTACCACATCATGTCACAGCTTACCACATAATGTCACAACTTACCACACTATGTCACAACTTACCACATTATGTCACAACTTACATGTCACAGCTTACCACATAATGTCACAGCTTACCACATCATGTCACAGCTTACCACATTATGTCACAACTCACCACATTATGTCACAACTTACCCTATGATGCCACAACTGGCAGCAATGCAACCGTCACTGTGGTCAGCATCCATGTAAATGAACTCAATAAATCCAAAGATGTGTTCAATATGCGGCAACATCAGGTTGACATCAGCTGAAACACAAACCCATTCACATACGTCGGTAAGAATACATTTTATTATTAATAGAAAACAGAGTCCCAAATCACAAATGAACCAATTATTCATGAATTTGAAATATGTCACGTTATAATATTTACACTCTACTGTTAAAAATCCCCAATTTGCACATAAAAAAGCATAAATCAGTGAAATTTCAGAATTGCTGCCAATTGTGTGGACATTTTGAAGTTTCAAGGCAACAGATATGAAAGAAGATATGATATAATACATGTGATAATGCATGTAAGTATTAGCTGTCAACCCAAGAACAAGTAGTTCATCCTATAAGTTAATTCAGGAGGAGCTGGCATTTGATAAGTAAAGAGATAACTTGTTATTATAACATGTTACAATATCATCTCATTATTTAGTAGCTTCAGCTCAAGGTTCTAATTGTATCAACTCATCAAACATCTTATAAGTGTAAACAAAGAACAAAAGAAATATTTTATAGTTTTGTTTCTAATAATATATGAGATAAATCAACTACTTCAGGTGCACTTGAATCGTATTTGTTATGACCATATATGAACAAAGGTGTATTTGTTATGACCATATATGAACAAAGGTGTATTTGTTATGACCATATATAACTTTAATACCAGAGATACCCTAAAATTCTGACTATCCATTGCTAAAAATATCTTTGAAATAAAGATATGGATCATTCTCGAAAGTACATATATTAATTCTTGCAATGTGTGTAATTCTTGAGAGTGTGAACCAGAGGAAAACTTTGGCATGGCCTGGCCTGTAAACACCACTAACCTGTGGGAGAGGGTGTTGTCATATCACCTTTTAGTCCTTGGATGATGCCAGTATAAGCCTCCAGACATGCCTCCCTCAGCTCATTTAAGTAGTCTATCATATCATAGTCATCCTAGTAAAATATATCATATCATAGTCATTCTCGTAAAATATATCATATCATAGTAATCCTAGTAAAATATAACATATCATATCATAGTAATCCTAGTAAAATATAACATATCATATCATAGTAATCCTAGTAAAATATAACATATCATATCATAGTAATCCTAGTAAAATATAACATATCATATCATAGTCATCCTAGTAAAATATATCATATCATATCATAGTCATCCTATTATTAGATATTACATGTATATTTATCATTTCATAAACTATCATATCATAGCCACCCGAGTAAGAAAAATATAGTTGTCCTTAGTAATAGATTTAGTTAAACCGACAACTTATTGTTGGGTATTAGGCCAATTACAAGAACATATCTGCTTCACATAAACATCATCATTTTATCAATACATCAATACATCCTGACAAGGCTGACAAGCATTCAGTTTAGATGCGAACACCAACCAAATTCAGACATTGAGGTTCTTATATGAGTACCTGTGCAAGATCGCCCATTCTTGATGAGCTTTGATAATTCTTTTTTATCGAGTCGCAGAGTTAATCCTTCGCTGCAGGTGGCTAATAAAATTAATCTGAATCAGTTAATTTAACTTTTTCATTTTTTCTTACCTGGTCTGTAACAGTAACTTGAGAGGCTTGGTTGAGAGTGTTCAGGATAACCTCCAAATAATTTTTAAATGCAGGTCCAATGGCCAAGGCAATATCACCAAACACTGACAGTATCTGAGGCTTGACAGATCTATGTAGGCCATTATTCTGAAATGTACAAGATAAACTCGTGAAACTTTGTTAACTGCAATAACTTCTACAGACTAAACTTATATCAGTTCATATAACTGTTTTCGTCATTAATTTGGCACTACATGTAGTTACACTGATACTGATTTACACTGATACTGATTTACACTGATGTTGGTTTACACTGATGTTTGTACTGACACTGATGTTGGTACTTACACTGAGGTCTTCCATGAGAAGTTGCATCAATTCATCACAGAACGGAAGCACTTTGTCGCCTAAAGCCCTACAGAGATCTCCCACAATGCCTACAGCAGCAATACACACTTGGTACTCAGCATGGTTCTTCAGTCCTATTGCTAGGTAGGGTTTGAACGCATCCATGTACTTCATAAAGGCCTCACCTAGCACTACAACATTTGCAACATAACAGGATCGTTAACAAACAACAATGGTTCCCAAAATGCTTATAGCTTCAATTTTCACACATTTTGGATTGAACATTCCTTTAATATAATATATATTCCTTTAAACTTGTGCTGAGTGGATTACTATAGTGCAGTCAGAATGAGGGTTTGAGCGTGCGTTCAGAGGGATTTTATGGGACATATTTTTTTATGTTGCTTGTATGATTTTACATATTTTTATGGATTATTAGATCTTAGTTTTTCAGCTTTTAGATTTTGTGGCGATTTTACCCCCCATGGGCTATAATTTGGACCCCTACTATAAAATTGGGCTAGAACTCCAAAAATACTCAGTGGAATGTTTCCAAATTGCTATGGTATATTGGTATAGGCTAACTAAATATATGATAACAATTTCAAGTCACATGGTTAAGTGGTTGCCATGTTAATGGATAAAACATACCCTTCAGGTGTCAATTTTCAGGCCAATTTTTCAGGAATGAAAGAGTCATTTCGTGCATATTTTGTCACCAGTCTGTTAGGAAGGGTTAAAATGTGAATAGAAAACTTTTGTAATATGTCAGCAACAATCTTATGTAAAAATCAGTCCACAGAATATCAGATTTTGGCCTTATATGGGTCCATGATTTATACAGGGGCCTGTTTCACAGATTCGAACCCCCACATTGGATGGATGCCATAACTTTTGAAATAAGGGAAATACAGTTCTCATTTTTTCAGATCTTCATAAATGACTGGTTTTAAGTATTGTGTTATACTTTGGGCGCTGGCATATGATTGGTTGCCATGGTAACCTGGGTTTTAGGGAAATTCTGACCCCCACATTGGATGGATGCTATTACTTTCGAAATAAGGGTGATACATGTCTCATTTTTTCAGATCTTAGACAATGATTGATTTTAAGTATTCAATCAGACTTTGGGAGCTGAAACTTGATTGGTTACCATGGTAACTAGGGTTTTATTGAAATTTGGACCTCCACAATTGATAAATGCTATAACTTTTAAATTCAAGCAGATACAGATATCAGCTTTTCAGAACTTAAAAAATAATACGACTTGTGTATTGTGTCAGACTTTGGAGGTTACAATTTACTTGGTTGCCATGGTAACCATGTTTCATTGTCATGGAAACTTCATTTTTGATTTCAGATTTACCTTCATTTGAGAATGGTCAATACACAACTTTGAACACAAAATTGCTCAAAATTATCATTTTACTCCTAATTTAGCATTTTTACATGTATATCTGACAGTATTGCCTCATTCCATTCTACTAGTTCTCACACATATTCTACTAAGTTGTTTTTACTCATCATTTTAGCTATTTTTGACCATTCTGGTACTAATAATTCCTCGGGGAATTCATAGTTCATTCATGCAGTGTTTGGCTTGGTAGAGCTGGGTTTAGGCTGGTGGGAATGTTTCCATACACAGGTTTGATAATTCACCCTCTTCAAATGTGAAAGAGTTGCAATGTCAACACCTTCATAAGTGAGGGCAGCACTGTTCTGTTTTTGATAATACTAGTATCTCATGTGAAACAGCTCATCATAGTGGCAGTTATTTTTGTAATTCAGCTGTACTTTTGCAGATGAACAATTTAACTTTGGAATTTTATGGTCTCAGGAATTTCTGTATTGTTTCCTATTGAAGAAAACAACTTTAAGAATTGTTTGTCTTCAGTTTCAGTTGATTTATTTTTCTTTTGTTCAGATTCAGTAACGCGCGCATTGAAGGCTAATATAGCTTCACACAGTACGTCGTCCTAAGTTTGCAGTTACAGGGGTTTGGTTGAGCTTCTGACATCTAAAGGGACAGAGTTCACATAAGTTGGGGTTCTTAACGTTGTCTTCTTCATAATAGGAAACAATATAGAAATTCCTGACACAATAAAATCCAAAGTTGAATTGTTCACCTGCAAAAGTACAGCAAAATTACAAAAATACATTTTTTAACTGACATCAATAGATTATGATATGAGCTGGTTCACATGAGATATTCTCCAAAACAGAACAGTACTACCCTCTCTTATGAAGGTGTTGACATTTCAACTCTTCCTGTCTTTCAAGATTGGTCCTTGACTGCTTTCATAGCAGCTAATGTAATGCAATGAATTACTTTGGAGCCAATGATGAACTCTCCCACCTTTGAAGAGGGTGAATGACAAATCCTATATGTGGAAGTGGAAACATTCCCACCAGTCTCCCAGGGAGTTCACTTTATATAAACCTTGAGGGGATCCTTGGCTCAGGTGGGGTACTTCAGACATTTGGTATGGCAATAGACCTAAATTTTAGGATCTGACATGAGAAATGAGAATGTCCTCCAAATTATGACTTGAGGTATGGCAATGGTCAGATTTTTCCACTTACTGGTATGAGAATGGTCTTGGAAAATATGTTACCCCTCACTTGTAATATGGCATTGATCTAGTATATATCCTTAATATGAGGTATATGAGGTTGTTTTTGGGTTGTTTTCCTGAAAGATCTGCCTTCTTCTTGGGGCATTAGACATTTTGAATGGCCATGTTTTTATATCTGGATATTTGATATCACATTGATCCTATATTTGGGCATTTGGTATGGCTTTTGGGCATTAATTTGGTTGGTATGGGAATACATTCAAATTTGACAGATTGGTATGGGAACATATTGATATCTGAGGGTTCAGCCTAGGACCCCAGCCAAATTTTATATACAGTGAACCCCAAGGGACCAATCTTAACCCATTCTGCCAAGCCCAATACTGCATGAATGTATGAAATCCCCTGAGGATCCTCCTCTCCAAAATGGTCAAAACAAGCCTTCATTCCAACAGAAATGGTTGATATTTAAATCAAAAGGCAATTGTGCAAAATGAAAAAGTAATGATGAGTACAGATGAACAAATTAGGAGTCAGAATATTTGTGAGAACTAGTGGTATGGAATGAGGCAATATTGTGAGACATAAATGTACATGTATTGTTTACTAGTATAGTATTTAATATTTTATGAGCCGAACAATTTGTGCATCTCTTGTATTATTGAGTCATGAGCATGTAAATCATATAAAATAGAAAAAATCCCAAAATTATGAATAAAATGGCAATTTGGTATTTCATATCATGTATTGACCTATCTAGAATGAAGGTGAATCTAAAAACAAAAACGACAGTTACCATTACAATGAAACATAGTGACCATGGCAACCAAGTAAATCCTAGCTTCCAAAGTTTAATACAATATACACATTTTATTATTATTTTAGATCTGAAAATATTATACTTGTATCTGCCTGTATTTAAAAGTTATAGCATGCATCAATTGTGGAGATCTGAATTTCAACAAAACCCTGGTTACCATGGTAACCAGTCTAATACAAGCTCCCAAAGTCTGAATCAATCCTTAAAATCAATCATTGTCTAAGACTTGAAAAAATGAGACACCTATATTCCTTATTTTAAAAATAGTAACATCCATCCAATGTGGGGATCCGAATTTCCATAAAACCCTGGTTACCATAGCAACCAATCACATAACAGCTCCCAAAGTATGATACAGTACTTAAAACCAGTCATTTATGAAGATCTGAAAAATGAGACCTGTATTTCCCTTATTTCAAAAGTTATAGCATCCATCCAATGTGGGGGTTCGAATCTGTGAAATAGGCCCCTGTATAAATCATGGACCCATATAAGGCCAAAATCTGAGATCCTGTGGACTAATCTTTATATAAGTTTGTTGGTAATATATTATAGAAGTTTTCTATTCATATTTTAACCTTTCCTAACACAATGATGATAAAATATGCATGAAATGACTCTATCATTTTTGAAAAAATGGCCTGAAAATCAACACCTGAAGGGTATGTTTTATCCGTTTTCATTGCAACCACTTCACCATGTGACTTGAAATTTTTATCATATATTCAGTTAGCCTATACAAATATATCTTAGTAATTTGGATACATTCTACTTAGTATTTTTGGAGTTCTAGCCCAATTTTATAGTAGGGGTCCAAATTATAGCCCATGGGGGGTAAAATGGCCACAAAATCTAAAAGCTGAAAAACTAAGATCTAATAATCCATAAAAATATGTAAAATCATACTAGCAACATGAAAAATTATGTCCCATAAAATCCCTCTGAACGCACGCCCAAACCCTCATTCTGACTGCACTACTATAGTTACCTATTGTGGTTAATATAGTTACCTTCTATTAGTGTTGACACTGCAAGCAGGGCATCCTCTTGCACTCCCCCTGCCTGTCCTGCACCTTCAAACATTCGCAGGAGAGCCAGCATGATGGGATCCGACACCTTGGGGGCATCCTCAGGTGTTACTTTACGTAGAACACTCTAGAAATAATATACAAATATTGGATTCATTGGTTCAAGAATTGGTAAGTCAGTTTAACCTTTAGCATGCTACCGGCGAGCGTAGTCGCCCGTGCTTATCAATCCCCGGCAACTGCCGGCGACTCCAGTCGAATTTAAACTTTCAAAAACTTAACTTTTTCCCGCCGGTCTTATGATCCAATCAGATTGCCCGATTTATTTAGTCCTTACGTGGGGACTTCCTGTTGACCTAGAAATGGCGATGTTTCGAAAAATATTTCTCAATTCAACGATTTAAACAGTGTTTAAGTCGTTTTTAGTGAACAAATCGTACAAAATGGCGGCCAAATACGATCACAACAAACATGTGGAGGAAATGGATTGCGATTTCGAGCTCTTTAGGCTCTTGGAAGCCAATAATGGTCATCGAAAATAGAAATAAAAAATATTTTCTGAACTGAAAAATGAACATTCGATCGCTGCAAATTCAGTTTTGGATTCTGACCAGACGTTGAATCTCCACAGGGGCGAAGCGGCGGATTCCGGAGGAGTATTCATGATATATTTATACCCAGTCCTGTTTATTTAAGTAAAAAATTCATGAGAACATTTTTTTCATGAGCCAGGCCAATTTATCTTCTGTTTGTGAAAATTTTATCCAGATTCATTCAGTAGTTATTGAGATATTAATTATTTAGTTCAGGCATATCATTTTTTGCACTCTTTGAAAAATAAGTCAGTCGCGTGGGATATATTTGCTGAATTAAGTTAGCATGCAAAATGCAAATAGGTCACTTCAAGTAAATAGTTTTTTTTCATAGTTTTTAATGTCGTGTGAGTCTTTCAAATATCTAATTCAAACCTGCAATGTTGCACAAAGCAATGACTGTAGGTCATTAAATTGGACTCTATCTGACGAGGACTGCAAATGACTCTCCATCTGTATGACTTGTTGTAACCTCTCTAATATCACCATGGTAGTCTTCTGTACTGTGAAGTAACAATCCTGAAAGAGAGAAATAACATGGCACTTAGGAATGCTAGTATACTCTCAGAATTGTCATTTAAATGAACAATCACATCAAGTCATGTTCATATAAGTAAACAATTTATTGTAAAGTTTTAAAGCAGGAAAAAATAAGTGAATTGAATTAATCATAATATAACATGCAAATTGCACCTTGTTGAGATCACCAAAATGTTAACTTAGCCTAGCCTGGGCCCTGATATATCCTTTTAGTAGGTGCCTTTTTTAATAATCATTATAATTACTTTCTCAAAAAGTAACCATTCATGAACATCTCTTCAAATGCCACAAATGACTTGCAGTGTGTACAGGAGTATATGATAGAAATACACACCCAATTTTTTACAGACACCAAATGACGTCCACAGAGGAGTTGAGATTATAATAACAATATGATGTCACCACTTCTGGTGGTGACATAAAAATGGGATAGAGAAAAAGCTTTCACATCGAGAAGTATTCAGACCTGAGAGGTGTTCAGATATACAGCTTTTACAACATACATGTACATACCTTAGGGCTGTTTTTGACAAGTTCCATAAGGGCCTCATAAGCTGCGCTCCTCAGATTGTGTTGATTGCCATCAGGTCTGTAAAGATATGTAACAAATCTGTAACTGGACTAATGGTGAAAAAATATTGTGGAGAAATGGGCAAATCCATAGGCTCAAATGGATTGGATGAGGACAAATGGACAAATCAATATACTCTCTTGGATTGAATGAAAAAAGCTGAAGGTAACTAACCTGTCAGTTGTCTCCAACAACTTTTCTATGATTGGCTCGAAGTATGATGACAAGCAATAAGTGGGTGGTTCTACACTATCGTCATGGTGATCCTGGGCAGTCTGTTCGGCAGCTTGTTCATATGCTGCTTCGGCCAAACTGGAGAATGCCTGTAAACATAATAAAAAGAGAATACCTGTAGAAACAATCACAAATATTATTTTGATAAATAGTTGATTTCTTTGGTGATGTGCTTGATTGTATAAGAAATTGTGTTTAAGTTAGCTGCTTGATTCAATAATCTTGACATTCACATAAGTCACACAAAATCATTTGTCATTCAAAGACACTGTACAGTCACTGTACTCTTCAAACTAGGAAATTGACTAGGAAAATAAATTGATTTCCCATGAACTATTTCATGCAAAATCACTTTGTTTTCCAGAAACATATGATGCTTTTACATGTTTGTGCCGATTGGGATGATTTATGATATACCTCGAGTAATCAAGGAAAAAGTAAAAAGTATTACCAAACTTTCCAACCGGAACTGAAGCGATCTTGTTACTGAAACAGCTATGTTTCCCATGAACTATTTCATGCAAAATCACTTTGTTTTCCAGAAACATATGATGCTTTTACATGTTTGTGCCGATTGGGATGATTTATGATATACCTCAACCGGAACTGAAGCGATCTTGTTACTGAAACAGCTATGTTTCGGCAAAAGGGAAATCAAGTGCAGTACAATTGGGAGTGCTGATAAATTCATCAACAAAAACTAAATTCTTCGTTCAGTATTTCTTAGTACAAAGTACCCAACAGACATTGGCTGCTATCCTGGCCTCAGATTTGAGACCTTCAACAAATGAATGTAATAATGTGTTTACTTACCCAACAGACATTGGCTGCTACCCTGACCCAAGAAGTAAGTCCCTCAACAAATGAATGTAATAATGTGTTTACTTACCCAACAGACATTTGCTGCTACCCTGGCCTCAGAGTTGAGACCTTCAACAAATGAATGTAATAATGTGTTTACTTACCCAACAGACATTGGCTGCTACCGTTGCCTCAGAGTTGAGACCTTCAACAAATGAATGTAATAATGTGTTTACTTACCCAACAGACATTGGCTGCTACCCTGGCCTCAGAGTTGAGACCTTCAACAAGTGAGATTAACAATGGTTTCAGGAACTGTTCATTTATTACAGCCTCTGGTAGAATCTCACACACACGCCCCACAGTCCAAGCTGTGGTGTCTCGCACAACAACACTTGGATCTTTTAGGAGTCCTATCAACATTGGCATGGCCTCTTCTACCAGCTTCTTTAAATTATTTGGGTCAGGGCCCTCTAAAACTGAACCTATAAAGCACAAATATAGACATATTATAATTGGTGTCTCAAAATACAACATTGATCTTTTAGGAGTCCTATCAACATTGACATGGCCTCCTCTATCAGCTTCTTGAAATTATTTGGGTCAGGGCCCTCTCAAACTGAACCTATTAAAGCACAAATATCATGAGACACATAATAATCAGTGTCTCGAAATACAAAACTGATATTTTTGGAGTCCTATCAACATTGGCATGGCTTCTACTAGTTTCTTTAATTTATTTGGGTCAGGGGCCTCTAAAACTGAACCCATAAAGCAACATAATAATGCCCAGCTTTTTCTACCAATATCTTTAGATTACTGGAATCAAAGTTCCTACACAGAACCTACATGATGAATACTATAATAAAAACTGTCATTTTTGCTAGTGGTGCGTCAATGAATACACAAAACATTTCTCTTATTCAAAAAATGGACACATCCGTAATCTATTTTCTTTAAACTCCATTTTTCAAAATTCCATAGAAAATAAATCAAGTATATTTGCTGGGTTCATTGACCTCCAGAGGGCGTTTGATTTAATCGACAGGAATCTCCTATTTTATACACTTTTAAAAAATGGCAGTAATGGCAAAATTTATCATACAATTATAAGTACAGGGTGGTCCAAAAAAATGGGACACTCGTATTTTAAAAATAAATATTGATTTTCTTGATGAAAATATGTCATATTATATACCACTGGATAGGGAATTTACTTATCTTTAATTTGGTATATCATAAGTTCAAATTTATTAAAATGTCTGTCAACCAGTGTCCATTATATAAATGACGCCATTTTCATTTCAAAACGGGTTTTCCAAAACTTGCAAAAACAAGTTTTATTGTCAACTTTATTTACATAAACAGACGTTCAATATGTCCACCAAAGTGTGTTCTGGTTTTAGAGCATTTCTTAATGCCTGATACTGTAAAAATACTTGGCCATTTCTACCTACTATGTTAGCAATATCATCATATGGTACCAATGCTTTGTTTCTAATAACATCCTTAATGCATATCAGTTTTTTCTCAATCCAATTAGAAAAATACAGAGTTTTATTAGCTCTTACAATATTGTCATTATTCCATAATATACAGGGTGGTCCAAAAAAATTGGAACATTTGTTAATTGAATACAAAATCTTTATTTTTCCTCTAAAATGCACCAAAACTTTACTGAGTATAGTTCAGTCACTTATCTATCTCACTTAAAGTTTATAGGTGCAAACAACAAAATGAATGCATTAAACTAGACAATGTTTGATATGACCCCCCTAATCCTGAATTACAAGATCCAGCCCAGGAGCCAGTTTTGAAATTATTCATTCATTTTTCTGTTTGTTTGTTTTTGTCAAAGCCATCTAGAAATTCAGCTTGACCAAACTCCCTATATCTTTGCTTTGGAAGATCACATCTGGTAACATATTCAACATTTTTTATCCAAATTGATGGGCATCAAGCATATTCTGATGGCTATTGTTAGGTGTATTCGTGTATTACTGATGGAATATTCTTCTCCAGAAAGGGATCAGGGCAGTTTTGACTGGTGAATAAAGCCTCCCCCTTTATTGTTTTAATATGAATAATATTCATCGAATATGTCAATATATACGAATATCAATATCATAAAGGAGTCTCCCAGAACACAAATGATACATTATATGTGTTTAGAGTTGGTCTTTAATAAAGCCTTGTAAATAACTGGTCAGTTTTGCCTTAACTAAAAAATGGAAGCAATGATTTTGTCACTTTAGCAACTGTGTGGGTTAAGCAATCGCTCACCTCTGACATGTTCCTTTTTCCCTCTTAAATAAAAATAATTAGTTTAGGTATTCTTTAAGTTGGCATTAACACAATTAGACTAAATAGTTTTCTAGTAAACCATAGATGTAAATACCTCTTGTCAACTGGATATGATTTTGTAAAACGAGTATAGCAATCATCATGTTCATTAAAGCTTTGACATAAAGATTACTTGAAAAAGTAGCAGCAAAATTGACAAGTGTATATTTGAGAAAAGGGGGTCCTATGAAACATTGACTAGTTTAAGGTGTTCACTTAGTGGTTTGCACCTATAAACTTTACATCAGATAAATAAGTGACTGAACTATGTTTAGTAAAATTTGGTGCATTTTAGATGAAAAATAAAGGTTTTGCGTTCAATTAACAAATGTTCCAATTTTTTTGGACCACCCTGTATACTCATCTTTATAATTACAATATTTTATTCACATTTTTAATATATCAGCATCAAATTCAGAGCAGTTCTCAAGACCACTTATTTTTTCAGCTGAAGTGTTACTTCTAAAAACAGAGAGGCTTACTCCCAGCTTATCATACATCATATACATACATTTATATTTTCGCACCACAATGTGATAATTGGAGGTTACGTACCGAATGCCATGACAGCTGCATCCCTGCATTTCCAGTCGGGACTCTTGATGTTTTCATGGATGAAAGGTATCACTATGGGAACTATTTCATCCTCACAACAGGTTGCTAGAAGCATGAGACAAACACCAGCAGCTTTACAGGGGTTCCACTCATCATCATCGTCAAACTCTTCCTAAGAACAAACAAAATAACAAAATATTAACTCAAGATTATTGAGGAAAGGAAAGTTGTCCACAATTCCCATTCAATTTGACTAAAACCTCCTATGATAGTCCATATGTAACATTAATTACAAAGCGCCTGCGTGACCAGGTGCCAATGACAAGCACTTTTCACTCTCAGCAGTGAACTCGGAAGAACAATTGGACTGAATTAGAGTATTTTAATTAGGTGATCATGTCTTCAGCATTAGCCAGGAATCCTGCAAGTAAGATGAAATGTTTCAGAACTTACTTGTCTGGTGAGGCACATACACAGTAAGGGAACCAGGTATGGAAGAGCACCTTTAGCATAGAATCTGCTAGTTCTCTCTGGAGGTCTGCCTTGTTCATCCGCCTGAATAGAATGCATAAATGATTAACATATTGTTGCCATGGTGATGCACATACACAGTAAAGGAACCAGGTATGGAAGAGCACCTTTAGCATAGAATCTGCTAGTTCTCTCTGGAGGTCTGCCTTGTTCATCCGCCTGAATAGAATGCATAAATGATTAACAAATTGTTGCCATGGTGACCCCCGTCTGAATATGATATATAAACTTAAGAACAACGGCAACGCCAAAGTGTAGCGAATCCCATCAAACAGAAATGGCTGGCATTTTTACAAATGAAATATATAGCAAATATCATAAAACAACGCACATAAGAGAGGCCAACATTTTCAAAATGGTTGCTCACTAGCCAAGTTATCATCAGAAGAAGTAATATGCTTTTAAGTTGCCACCTATAAAATTTTTAAAAAATCACACAGATGTACTTGTAAATGGTGGCCATTTTTTAAAATGGCCACCTTCTACCCAAAATGTCATAAGACAGTATGCAATGTTTATGAGTACTCATATATCAAATATGAACAAAATCGCTCTATTATTGAGTTATAACAAAAAATGTAGAATAACACATATAAAAATGGTGGCCATTTTTCAAAATGGCCGACTACTCCCCAAAGTTTTATTAGACAATGTACCATGCTTAAAGTATTCACATATCAAATATGAACAAAATCGCTCCACTTCTTTTCGAGTTATAGTAAAAAATTTAAAAAATGACAGCCATTTTTTAAAATGGCCATCTACTACCTGAAGTGTCATGAGACAGTGCAAAAGGCTAATGAGCATTCACATATCAAATTTGAACAAAATCGCTTCACTACTTTTCAAGTCATAGTAAAAAACGCAAAAATGGCCACCTACTACCCAAAGTGTCATTAGACAGTGTGCCATGCTTATAGTATTAACATATAAAATATGAACAAAATAGCCCAACTACTTTTTGAGTTTTAGTAAAAAATGTAAAATGACACACGTAAAAATGGCAGCCATTTTTCAAAATGCCCTTCTACGACCCAAAATATCATTAGACATTGTGCCATGCTTAAAGTATAACAAATATGAACAAAATCGCTCCACTACTTTTCAAGTTACAGTATTTGACTTATTGCCCGGACGGACAGACAGACATACGTACAGGCGGACAGAGTCGTTCCCTATATCTCTCCGAACTTTGTTCGATGGGATAAAAATAAAGGTAATGTTGCCATAGTGACTGTCTTATAGCAGGACTTGACTGAAGATAACATTGCAAATGTGTTATGATATATTTTAGAATTCAGAATCATTGACTGGGCTGATTGAAATGGTTGAACTCCAATATAGAAAATGATTAATACAAAGCTCACCTCAGAAGCTTCTATTGCAAGGTCCACCTCCTCATCACAGACATTGGACCAGAACTCAATACCCTGTAGTGAGACCTCATCAAATTCACTCTTCATGGAATCAACTGTGATCTATAAAAACAAGAGGAACTATTACCCAGAATACCCTGTAGTGAGACCTCATCAGATTCACTCTTCATGGCCTCAACTATGATTGTGTAAAAACAAGAGGTACTATTACCTAGAATACCCTGAGGTGAGACCTCATCAGATTTATTTTCACGGCCTCTGCGGTCTGTAAAAACAAAATATACTATTACCCAGAACACCCTGTGTACCTCATTTACAAGAGATACCATTACCCATAAAACCCTGTAGGGAGATATTATATACTTCACTCTTCATGGCCTCACTAGATGCTATTACCCAGAATTCCAGGATATTCCAACACAACAGGACCTATCTCTAGAGCTATGATGAACTAAATGTCCAAATGCTCATGTCTATGGGTACTTAGAACTCAAGAAGTTTATTAAGATACCAACAATTATTATGAAACTCCAAGTTGAAATTGAAGTCTTGATTCACTTCCTCATACACAATTAATACATCAGAGAAATGGTTCAAGTAAGGGTCTTATAAGAATTAGAAGAAATTAGGCACTACAAGATGGTTGACTTACTGCAAATAGGGCTTGTCCCATATAGTGCTCCATGTAAAGGTAATACAAGGACATAATCTTCACCAGACATTGTAGGGCTGCCACTTTCACTTGAATGTTATTAGACTGTGTTGCCTCACATACCACTTGCATTATGAAGTGGCGCTCAGACTAAAAGGGAAATAATGGTGTAAACAAAGATATGAGCAGTCCCTGAATGTTTCACTTGAATGTTATTAGACTGTGTTGCCTCACATACCACTTGCATTATGAAGTGGCGCTCAGACTAAAAGGGAAATAATGGTGTAAACAAAGATATGAGCAGTCCCTGAATGTTTCACTTGAATGTTATTAGACTGTGTTGCCTCACATACCACTTGCATTATGAAGTGGCGCTCAGACTAAAAGGGAAATAATGGTGTAAACAAAGATATGAGCAGTCCCTGAATGTTTCACTTGAATGTTATTAGACTGTGTTGCCTCACATACCACTTGCATTATGAAGTGGCGCTCAGACTGAAAGGGAAATATTCAAATAAAGGTGTAAACAAAGATATGAGCAGTCCCTGAATGTTTCACTTGAATGTTATTAGACTGTGTTGCCTCACATACCACTTGCATTATGAAGTGGCGCTCAGACTAAAAGGGAAATAATGGTGTAAACAAAGATATGAGCAGTCCCTGAATGTTTCACTTGAATGTTATTAGACTGTGTTGCCTCACATACCACTTGCATTATGAAGTGGCGCTCAGACTAAAAGGGAAATAATGGTGTAAACAAAGATATGAGCAGTCTCTGAATGTTTCATCTTTTATATCTTTTGAATTATGAAAAAACTAGATAGTTATTTCACCCATCTAAATCAAAGATATAATATGAGAATGCAAACCTATTACATTTAAATCTACGCTACGTGGATTATTGCTGTAATATGATGTTCAAACTTACCTCTTTTTCAAAGTTAGCTTTAGTAAATTCTAGTGAGTTCAGCAAGGCTTCAGTGGCGGCATATCTGACATGTGCACTGGAACACAATGTAGTCATGGTTATTATGATCTTGTGGTTCTCATAGTTATATTGCATGATTTATATTGATTATATGATTCAATCAAAATCTGTTATCATTTAACTTTTCAGGGGATAAACATGACATTCATAAGATTTTTGTATTTCTTTTAGATTTTATGTATCATAATCATATCATTTATAACAATATATTCAAATTCCCAACATCTTCCCCGAATTATTTTTTATCTTTAAATTCCAACTGGGAATAATTTGGCTTCTGAATTACCCCTTTTCTAATAACAAAACTAAATATAAGATACTAGGTGAAGTCTTGAGCTCACCTTGGTTCATCTTTCTTCATTCCATGAACGATTGCGGTGAGAATCTCATTGGACTGTTTCAGTAATATAACAGGGTCCTAAAATGGCAACATGAAATTTGGCAACAGGCAATTTTAAATTCAGCAATATGACAATATGGCAATACAAAATGTAGCAATGCTCATTGAACAATGTTGCAATAAACAGAGTGCCAATATAAAATTTTCAGTACATTTTAGAAGAGGAAAGTGAATCAACATGAAGTGTTATTTAATTCCTCTTTGGACAACATCAAAATGTTATAGACCAGGGGGTCATTTACAGAAACTATGTAAATTTAGGAATTCTTAAATCAATTGTTGTAACCATGGATATAATGACATCAGTTAATGAACAATGGAGTTTAGGAATTCCTAACTTAGAACGTTTCTGTTAATGGCCCCCTGGTTCCTAAATAGGTTGAATATGCAAAATTGGTTGAGAAATGCTAGTACCCAATATTCGCAATTTCCCTATTCCTCAAATATCTTATAAACTGAGACATAGGTCTCAAATGATACAGTCTATAAACAGCAAGATTTGCCAATACTGTACTCCACTTGGTAACTTACAATGTCTTGGCAAATATATCCTATGGCTTCTAAAGTGGAAACCTTCATTTCCTCCGTGCTATTTGGATTTGTCACATTTTTTGTTAAACTGTCTATTAGATCTTGCCATTGGTTTTGTGGTAGCTCTGCACATGCGATATAAGCGACACATTGGGCTGCAGAGCTTGGTCTCATCTGTTCCGTACCTAGAGTATCTAGCACCTGAAAAAATCAAAAAAATCTGAAGAAATGGCATACATTTAAATTTGTATGTGATAGTTCACTATTTTTCAGTCTGCGATTATTGATACATGTATATGATACCACATAAAGGTTTTCTTTTCATCTCTTTTCATCAAGTATTCACTTTAAGTTTGCCTAACTTGAATTTCCCAAATTCATTGTTACAAGAATTTCCAAAAGTAATTTTTTAATCACCTACAAATATATGCACAAGTCCCACTCACACACACAACAAAAATGTGCACAAGTCCCACTCACACCACAAATATACACCCAGTTCCCACTCACACTACAAATATATGTACAAGTCCCACTCACACTACAAATATATGTACAAGTCCCACTCACACTACAAATATATGTACAAGTCCCACTCACACTACAAATATATGTATAAGTCCCACTCACATACAAGTCCCATTAATACTATGAATATATGCATAATTCCCACTCACACTACAAATATATGTATAAGTCCCACTCACACACAAGTCCCATTAATACTATGAATATATGCATAATTCCCACTCACACTACAAATATATGTATAAGTCCCACTCACACACAAGTCCCATTAATACTATGAATCTATGCATAATTCCCTGTCACACTACATATATGCACACAATTCCCACTTACACTACAAATATATGCACAAGTCTCATATACACTACATATATACATACAAATAACACTTACACTACACATATACGCACAATAACGCAGATGCGAGTAGGTAGTTACCAGATTCACCACTAGTTGGCTCGTTCGGGTCAGATAGCATGGCGGGTATAGTAGAAAGTTCCCTTTAACTTAAATTACGTCTATTTGCGTGGCTCAATTTTCAAATAACCCTTATGTATCTAATAGTTATGCAAATTAAATTATGTCCAGTAAAAGAAAATGTTATCTGTCCAATACAAGAAAAGATAATTCACTTTTTGTGGTTTTGTAACATGGGGTGTATGGGGAATCAACCCGAACAAGAAGTCACATTTTCAAAAAAAATTTAATTTTAAAAGTTGATAGACAATTTTCGAAACCATATTTCTAGATGTACTTTTACATGCAGATTTCAAATATGACATCACTTTGAATTTTGAATATTTAATGACGTAAATCAAGATTATTTCTACTCGCATCTAGTCTATTCCCACGCATACTACAAATATACATACAAGTTCTACTTACACTAGAAATATGTGCACAAGTCCCACGCACACTACAAATATACATACACCCACTCACACTACAAATATGCACACAAGTGCCACTCACACTACACATTTAGGCACAAGTCAAACTCACACTTAAAATATGTGCACAAATCGAACTCACAAACAAATATACACAAAAGTTTTCCGATTCTTTACATTTTAATGAGAATGAAACTTTAACATTATGACCAAACCATTTGTTTCAATGAATGCTCCAGAATGCACATAAAGACTTAAAGGAACATTCCTTGCCAGACTATTTCTCTCCTGATATGGTAGCTACAATCATATATATACTTGACATATTTAGCAAAACACGGGAAAATGTTTTCATATGGTCAATATTGATAATTTAAAAATGTAGTACTCATTCCCAGTTAGCTGCCATCTTTTCAGATTTCTTTCAGGAAGTGATGTCATCGACTCTCACCTGTTATAACCTTGTCTATTACAGTATAGGAAAGAAGTACAAAATCACTTCTAAACAAGAAGCCCTTATCTTCTGTGTAAAAATATTTTCAGGAGTTGTCAACTTAGAACTAAAGAAGAGATCGTCAAAAGGTTTTTAATAATAGACCAAATTGAAAAAATATTCAGCTGGTTTAGAAATTCTGACAGCTCCTTACCAAATGTTATATGCAAAGTTCAAAGTTCAAACTTCCTGAGTGAAATTTTAAAAGATGGCAGCCTACTGGAATTAAGCACTACATTTTTAAGTGATCAATATTGACCATTTCAAAACATTTTTCTGTTTTTTGATAAACTTGCAAAGTATGTACAAATGTATATAGTTATAGCTACCATATTAGGAGAGAGATGGTCTGGCAAGGAATACCCCTTTAACTGTATTCACTTACATTCTTCTTCACATGGGCTTTTACTTCTTCTGGCATAGCCAGCCATCTTTGCTGATATGATTCTTTTATAGAGGGGTCTTTGGAGTATAAGGCATTCTTTAACTGGATACCAGCCTGCATACGCACTGCTGCGTTATTGCCGCCATGCTTCAGAACATCGGATAATTGTTGCAGTAACTGTGGCTGCAAAATATAAGACAATAATGTTATGTATTGACTGACATTTTATTCATTTATAAACTCAACACAAACTATACATTAATCCACATATTGCTACAGAATACTGAGTTACCCTCAGCGATCTCACCACTGGGGTTCTTTATTAACAATCATCTAATTTGACAAGTTCTGGTCAAAATCCTTCGACCAAATTTTGTCCACCATTTTGATGATCCTACACCAGTTAGTATGATGTGCTGTGAACAAGTGAAGAACTGGTAACGAGAGATACTTTTGAAAAACAAAAATTTTTCTTACCAAATTTTGCACAGCTGCCTGTTCCAGAAATTTGTTAGCATTCTCTAGCTCCTCTTGAACTGAAAATAAATAAATTCCTATGAGAAGTTAAAAACAAAATTTTAGAACTATATATCAGCAGGTCAGCCTTGCATTTAATTTTCATATTTCTTGTAGGGCTGTGACATAACCTTTATGGAATGGTTTAAAATTGGTTTGGGAACTTGGTCTAGAGAATCGGAACTTTCGGAACCCATTTCGCGTAGGAACACAATCAATCTAGATCATTAGAGAATAAATGAAACTGTGCACATGGAAAATCTGTCATAGATGACAATTTGTTCTAGTATGTCCTATAATCATTTATATTTCACCCTGACAGTTAAAAATTAAAAATTTATAAATATAATTAATAAAAATATTCACCATTTCAGTCAGATTATTCCTCAGAGAAACTTCCAACAAAACTATATTACTACAAACAAAAGCATATTACGACAAACATCATTACATATGAGGAACTGACAAAAAGAAAGGGCGAATGGGTGATGTTGAGTTTTTCCCAGAAGTAAGGTTTGAGTTTTAAAATATTGAATTTCCATAGATTTTTTTTGATGATTTTGGGTTACAGTAACAGCTTCCAACAGCTGATACTGTCATCAAGGCCTTGGTACGATGACAACATAATATTGTTCTCATATAGGCCTGGAATGTTGACAGCACATTCTTTTTCGATCAGAGCTCCACAATTTTCTGTATCAAAACAAAAGGGAAAGAATACTTTATTTGCCAAATATGAGATTTTTATTAAAGCATCCATCTTTTAAACAGGAAAAGCTACCTACCTGACCAGTGAATACAAGAAAGAATTTCTGTAATAACACAGACTTTTAGTGGTCATATGAAAAGGTTGCAACTAACTTCTGAAATACTTTACCAATCAAAATGGAATGAATAGAAGACATGATAATCCATGGCCCTTATTTTGAAATATGTACTGGAAACTAGTGAATCAGGGTATTACCAAAAGGTAGCATTTGGCTTCAGTGCTGATATTAAAATCAGATGCTGGATGGTGTGTGATGACAATACATGTAGCATGTTAAAAAGATGCCAAACCTAATCTCTCCTTCATACTTTATAGGGCCGTGCCATTGAACCAAAAATGGTCCGAAGCGTGAATTTTTGCTAGAATACAGGTATTCGGAACTTTCATATCATGTTCAGAGGGTTTTAGAACAAACATCGGAACCTTACCTACTATTGGCTTTAAATCTTTAATATCTAAGTCCAGTACTTAACTGGTAATGTTTTCCTTCAAACTGCGTCAAACATACACATGTATTAGTCGCATAAATATAATAAATATCGATGAAATCAAGTTTTGTTTTGATTTGAGAGTATGACCTTCAGTTTTCACTGGAGTAGGAATAGACGGGGCTGAATCACTCACAGATAAAAATAAATAAATAAATTCAATTACGATCTTTACAATCTACACTTTTTATAATCATCTAAGATAGCTAGATTTATGGTACATCTGAGTAAATAGTAGACTGTGAACACAGCCTCTAATGCATTGGATTGTCGTAAGGACTTGCATTAGAGGCGGTGTTTATCCTTGTAAATTCATGCCAATCTAAGTTTTTCTCGATTATTTTTGACGGTTCACTTTATTTTAATCTTCTGCTTAGAATCTCTGGGTCATTTACAGAGAAATATAAACAAAATGGATACATTGATGATTTATACAAAAAATTACCATAGCTTTGTGGTTGTAGAAGGTTGAATTGTGCTAATTTTGTAGCAAAATCGCCATTTGTTGCTACTGTTCACAAAATCTTTATGGCGGCTTTTATTCTCACGAGATTTGACGAGAGTAGCCATTGAATATTGCTGCCATCTATTTAACTATACAGAGTTAATATCATTCATTCAACCATCATGTATTCGATGGAAGAAATCAATGATCTCTATTCGCATAACATAAAACCAAAGTTTGGATTTGATTTGAAGCCAGAACAGTTACAAGACGTGATAACAAACATATTGAATCAAGAATCCACTGGTTTATTGGAAAACATTACAACACGTGATCATCAAATTACGTCACGTCACGTGATCATCACACTGATTTATGCAACGCATGCGCACTTGAAATTAGGTCAGCGAAAATGTCAAGAAGACCGGTCAGAAATGCAATTTCGTCTTATCTGCAACGATAACACATAATTACTGTAATAAAGCGAGGCATTTATGGGTTCATTTTGAAGATTTTTGGTCCCGCTATCCAGTGGTGAAAGAATTTTCAAGATTGAGGTAAGATCTTGGGAGAAAAGTCAAAAACATCAGATCCGGACTTTTCAGCATTTCTTAAATTTGATAAATTTATATTGCACGTTATGCACCCCTGGGGCCAACACGATCCTCAGAGACCCAGAGGGTGAATGAATGCATCTAAGTAAATAGTTGCCTATGACAGATATTTTATGAGTGTACCATTGCATGTACATTTCATATATATTTTAGGAGAGGGGGATAAAAGATTGATAGTTTTAAAGTTAACTTTGGAGTTTTACTTCCAATCGATCAAAACAAACAATTAACGATGTGCAAATTAACCAACCAAATTATGCCAAGACACTGTTGTATCAACTTATCAAGTACAGTAAGTTCGTATCTTTTTTCTTTCTTTTCGTTTGTGGTCCGAAAGTTCTGATTCCATGAGACAAAATTCTGATTTAGATTCCAAACCATTCGAACCAATTTCGTCACAGCCCTTATGCTATACCTACGCTCTAATGTTGCATTGTTCTTTTGCAAACAAGATATTTTGCTAAATACTCTACAAGGAAGTGTTCAATATATATATAACAATCTATCAATCAATGAAAGAGTATTTTTTGATTTGAAATTATTTTTTAGACGAAATTTTTGAAGAAAAAAATGAATGAAAACTGATTTTATCACCTGTAGAAACTGAGTTTTGCAGGACCTGTAGTAAATCCATTGTAATAATTGGGGGGTCCTTAGTAATTGCCAGTATCAGATTCTCTCTTAAATTGTCAAACAGCTTGATAATTTGGTAAAAAATGTTAGTTTTTCATAAAATGTTATTTCCATGTGAGAAGTGCGCAATAATATTCGATGCCGGGTGTTTTGTCAAATTATTTTTGATTGGACGAGAAATCACATATTTGAAATAGTTCCCAATATTGACCAATCAAATTCTAGTTTTCAAATCACACGAACTACTTTTGATAGTTGCTACTAATTTCAATTTATTATGAAAAATATATTCTGTAAAGCACATTTATGACCCGTTTGAATAAATTTAGAAATAACTCTCTTGGGAATCGTCACCCAATATCACTTTTTTGTTTCAAGATCAGTTTCGGCATTAGACCGAATCACTCACGTTTTACATTTACCACCTCTCGTACTATCTCGAGAGAATACACAAAACGAAAAGGCATCAAATCCCCGGGAAGGTCATATCATTACATAGAAATTACTTCAGTTTAAACAATTTACTAAAGTAACCCGAGACTTACATATAATCTTAGGTATGTATGCTTCAGTTATGGTATTTAGAGTAATTGAGGGATTGGTACTAAAATGGTGAATCAGAGTCGAGACTTTTCCAAAATTGCAGTCTCGGCAACGACGATGGCTTGACATATTCCTTATTCCTGATACCTAACCATCGACAACGTACAGTGACAAAATAAACGGGTGTACTAGATGTTTGAAGCAAAAAATGTAATGTACGTAGCCTAGGTTTTGAAAGTTTTTATCTAAGGAATATGAAGAAGAACATGTATTTCCGATGTTCAAGTAGTAATTCATGTGCATGCTCTTGGCAAGCCGGCTGTTTTAATTCTCTTTAACAACAGTTCGCTCACTCATTGAGTGCGAGATTCCCACGGGTGATGTTTTAATAGCTGCCGTTTCCAAGTCCGCCCCAGATGACAAAGTAGGCCTATTAATGCTTTGAACAAAAGCAATATTAATATGTCTACAATAGTAAGCACCAGGACCGGATCTGGGAACCAACAAAGGGGGTGGGGCAAACTTGTGGATTGAGAAAAAAGATCCGCGGAAAATTTTTTTGGGCGCCTAAAACCTGCTAAAACCAAAAAGTGGGCCCAAATCATTTGAAATTTTGAGGCCCATTTTCTTCAAAAATTTGGCCTTAAATTAGAAAATAAGGCCTTAGAAGGCCCATTTATGACCAAAAAAGGCCCACGTGTAGTAGTTCAAGACTTATTATCAGTTTGAACTGACCAAATAATTCATTTATGACAGAGTCTAAAAGGGACATTCATATCAAATACCTATAAATAACACGACACGTAGGCACTTTGTTTAAATGATCTGCTAACGTGTGGCAACGTGTTTGCTCACGCGACTGGCGTATCGAAAAATCATTTTAGACAAGTAAAACACATAAAGATAGTGCACCTATCAATTTATTCGACGTTTAGAATAACATTTGCAAAATGCTTACTAAAACCTTATTTTATTGCAGTCAATTTTTTGCTAACGCTAATTTTATTCCAGGAAAGAAGAGGGTAATTTTACTAAACTTCAAATACGTATGTTATCATTGAAAATACCTCCATCCTCGGTTAATTTATGTTTTACTAATTGTACATTCACTTAAAATTGTGTAATACTAAAGCGTTAGGCTACAGCGTCAGATATTGCATCCCAGGATGTAACATATGTTACATAACACTTTGACTTCTTAAATGCTTCTTACATGCTCTTTTGGTGATTTTGTATCTTTTAAAGGCCCCATATAAAGTTTAAACCACTTTGGCTTATATTGTAGTCCTACCCAATGTTATCAAAGTGTGATATGTGGAACTTTTTTTTTAAATTTCAAAAAGTGGTTTTTGATAGACTTTTTGTTCCAAAATTTGTGAATTTATTTAAAACCAACTTTTAGAGGTCACTCATATCTTCTAATTAGCCACAATTCATACCAATGTATAGCATTCATCCTCCCATGTTTTTTGTCGAAAAGAATAAGAAAATCGGTTCATAAATAAGCGAGAAATGAACTTATCAGTGCATGAAATTGGTTCTGAGAAAAATGCATTTCAAAATTTTAGTTCTCATAGAAGCCAATGGTACAATGATATCTAAAACATAATATATTCTTCCTTTTAACCTGGTTAGACAATCAACATTGGTTTTTTATGAAAGTCTAACATATTTAGAAAAGATTGACATCGAAAAAAAAATTTCAATTTTTTTCAAAAAGTTTTTGGTACCTTAGTGACATCACTAATGTTTCAAAATATTTTTGATATGCTAAAACATTGAAGTGGCCCATTAAATATGGCATTTTATTATTGAAATAGTGTGTCCTTTGTTCAATATTTGCATTGGTGTTAAAAAGATAATCCTTTTTGAAATGCATTAAGAAATATTTGATGCATTAAGAAATTTCAACTTTTTTGAAAAATGGCGGGAAATTTGAATATTTGAGAAATGAAATGCTCACAACTTTTTTTGAAAAAAAATTTTTTTGTTCAAAAATCTCTAAAATCACTTTTTAAGTCCTGACAAATAGTAAATGATTGATAAAAAAATATTTTCAAACTTTAGACGGGGACTTTAAGTGATTTTATAGAAAATATTTTGCAATGTGTAAAATGAATTTAAGCCCAAGACTCAATGCATTGTAGCTGCTTCATTCCACTCAAATGTTGTTTCCTAAACTTTGCATTCCCGCTGCACCGGTCATGCAAAAATTCTGAAACAACACTTTCATGGTATGATTCAACAAACAATGCACTTAGTCCAGGGCTTAAATCCCTAAACACTGCTACTACTTGCAATTGCACATGTTGTATTGAAGGGGTATATATTAAAGTATGTGTAAATAGAAAAGTCATCATAATTGTTTCTGACAGCTTTGTTGCTCTTTTTTAATTGTTTCCCCTTAATGGCATGAGATACAAAGTCATATCCCACTTGTGGGTCATAACGAACTATCATCATACATAAAATACTAATCAAATTGCAAATTGAAATATTCAATTTAATTGCACACCTGGCATATGGTTATTATTTTATCAATGGCATGCATAAACACAGTGATAAATCAACCAAAAAATCATCTGCATCAATTTTCACTTATTTAAAGTTGATTAAGTGAATTTATGAACATAACGATCTGTCAACCATTCATTCAATTTTATGGGCGGAGCTTTGGGGTGTGAATATATCTTATCCTATATGGTTTTCAAATTGTTAAAACACAGCACGGTTTTAATATGCCATTTACATTTAATGGAAGCTAGAATGTTAACAATATAAATAGTAACATTTGGAAAGTTCCAGCAGAACTTCATACATCAAAATTCGTTTGAGTTTTTAGAAATTCCTTCGATTTTACCATTCAGAACAGTTAATCTTAGATTGAATTACCGGTATTTAGGCATCATGATATACCATGACATCTCATTTCTTCTCAGCCCTGAGATGCCATGATATAATGAGCTTGATTTGGCGATCCAGGAGAGCCCAAAATTGAGGATTTTTGAGATCTTTCATCCCAGCTCATATTTCATTTAATTGGGGTCATTAAACTTGTGTACACATACCTGTGCTAATATCTGCTGTTAAATACAATGCCTATTATGTAATGTATTGACATTAGGTAAATGATTACATGATAACTATCATACTTATTGACAGTTATAACTCTTCCCATCTGATGTACTCAGATCACAGAATATGCCTCATAATATCAGAGCATGTTTCAGGTGAAACAGAAAGATGCTATGAGTCATGAAAGGTCCATGTGCAGTATGACAAGTGATTTTAGACAGTCATATCTTTCACCATGAGTACTTTCTTGGAATAAATACAGTGTTTTTTTAAATTAAAACAATATGTTTTCTTTCAAATGAAGTCCAGATGATGATAAAAATATCAACAAACGATTCGAAAAATTATAAATAGGGACCCCACGTCAACAATTTTTTCAAAATGTTGAACTTATTTGCTCAAAAGAGGATCTTCTTTTTCTGATTTTTATTGCATGAAAAAAATTTTGAACAAGGGGTCTAAAACATCTTCAAAAGTAGAATGTTATTGAAAGTCTAGATTTGAAGATATCAATTTTCAATGACCAAAATCATAAAAATATTTGGTCAATTTGAAGCAAGTTGAGAAAATACCTTTTTAACCTTTTTTGACCTTGAAAATGTCATTGAAGATCAAATCTTAAATGTAAAGTCAGATTTCTGAAAACTTGTAGATGACTTAGAAAAAAATTGAAGTCAGTCTAAATAGTATTTGTTAAGTTATTGGAAGTTGTAAGAATGTGTTACAGTTGCAGACGCCAACCGCCGACCGCCACCCGCCGCCAGAAAACGGAGACCATAACAATATGTCACCACTTCGTCTTGGTGGTGACATATTATTAAAAATAATAATTTTATATCTTTCGGGTGCATGGAGACCCTTCCTTCCTACTGAAGTATCCCTCATTGGGGGCTTCATCGGGGCTATATTCAGATATCCCAGAACTAACTCATACCGTGGATTTTGAGGAAGTCCATTCATTAACTCATTAATTCATGCATTTGAATGCGTTACGTTGATTCGCTCGATCATACATACTGTATGTAATATATACGTTCAGGGTATAAATAAATGAAGGCATCATTCACAAGCATTGTTCTCAGCAAACATACAATCATGTACAAGTACGGTGGCATTTTCGTGCTGTTCGTGGTATCCCTAGGAACCATTGAAGCCGGTCTAGGTAAGTGAAATCAATGTCATTCAATTTAAACTGGGCAGATTTAACATTATTCATAACAAAAATGTGTGAATGGAATCGTAAAAGAAATATCTTGTTCACGTCATAGCAAGTGTTCGATCAAGTACAAGACACTTGTACTTAAAGGTAGTATCAGGTCTAGCTAGCAACCTTAAATGTTGAACAATTAGTTGCAGAGACATTAGCAACGATCATGAACCTAATGCAAAAATATACCGACGTTTGGATATTTCATCAAGGCTAACATATACCAGTATTTTCATTATCTATAAAGAAACCCCCTGAATCAAAGTTATTTCAGTTGAAATTCCTGCAATAAAATCTTGGAGGGTAGTCTATAAGTGGAACTCCTCTTATGGAAACTTTAAACTAATTTATACACTTCTAAATGCTGAAATAGATAGGTTTGTCCATACATTTTAAGAAAAGAAGTTAAGGCAATCATTGCCCTGATAGCTCAGTCTCTTTACAGGCCTTGTTGCCACTTAAACAAACATTGTTTTCATTTTAGAATATTTTTGACTCGTATCTCTTGGTTAGCATCCTAAACTCTGCCGATTTAAGACTCTTTTATTCATTTTGATACTCTTACGTCTGAGACAGAGTTTAAGGTCGTAATAATCAATTTTGGCACCGTTTCCCTGGCACGGTTGAAGTGATTTGGGCTCTAAAATATGCGGCAGATATATGACGATAGTATAAAACACATACAATCAAACATTCGTTCGTTCTCATGTGGGCATGTGTTTCATGTATACAATCAAAACTCAATTTAGACAATGAATCTATCTACAATGCCTATGTGTGTGCCTGTATGTGCCTATGGCGCACACTTACTATATCATTCCATCGAACGCAGGTACCTGCCGTCACCTTGGCATTTAATGGCGGACGGGAAGTGACTACCTCGATATTTTTAATTTTCATCGAATTAAACCACAGTACCACAGTGGGGCGGTCCAGGGTCTTGATGCAAGACTAGTTGATACGGTACTGGTTACCGCCATCTTTTAATCTCTCATGCGGATCGAGAAACTAACAAGGGGAGTCAGAATTTTTTTTTAATTTGCCCTTTTTGATAATTTGGTCCAAAATTAAAAAGCATCGCTAGATAAGAAGACGAGGAAAATAAAGGGAGGGATACTTTTCGCTCTTCGGGTTGTTCAATGTTTTCCGGCTGTTAAAAATTTCTTGTTTTTGTGTTTTTTTCCGGGTTTCACAACTTTTTATCCGGTTTGTCGGGTAATATTTGTGTCTGAAATCTAAATATAAAGTAATAAATAACATTCTATAGTCACAATTAGGATTTTGTCAGCAGTTGTATCTGATCATATGAAACAAATATCATATTATTCAATGATCGAAATTTGACTCACTTTTTACTGAATTTTGATATTACAATATAACTTGATTTCTTAGGTTTTCAAAAGTAGTAAATAGGGAGTTAAAGCTTGCAATGTTTTTCCACAACCTAAACGTGAACGGAAATTATTTAAGCGATGCATTTGTATGGGTGATTGGTCATACGTATAGGTTGGCGTTTCGATTTTATATGCAAGCTTGCTCCCTAATATATTTTGTATTCAGTTAAGTGTACTTAAAAATCATCATTAAATGTGTCTTGTTTTAGAGTTTGGGCAAAGCTGTCTGTGGGCACACAACGGGTTTCGAAGATTGCACCAATTAACACGTGATCTAGCGTATAATGAAGACCTGGCAAAGTCGGCACAAGAGTATGCGGACTACTTATCTTCCACCGGGAAATATGAACCAAGCCGCATGGTTAGCGAGGGGACATATAGTGAGAACATACTCAAGTGGCCTGATTACGCTGTAATGTATAATAAGAATGCTACATGCCGCCATGCCATCGATCAATGGTAAGGACTGAACATCTAGTTTCACAAATGTTTTCATCTCAATATTATGCAATGTTTGTACAATGTCAACACCAGTCGTCTCATCTCATAAGCATGGTCATAGAATATCAATATTATGCAATGTTTGTACAATGTCAACACCAGTCGTCTCATCTCATAAGCATGGTCATAGAATATCAATATTATGCAATGTTTGTACAATGTCAACACCAGTCGTCTCATCTCATAAGCATGGTCATAGAATATCAATATTATGCAATGTTTGTACAATGTCAACACCAGTCGTCTCATCTCATAAGCATGGTCATAGAATATCCAGAGCAATCATGACATGAGACCCCGATTTGAACAATCATACAGAACTTGGCAATGATTAAATGATATGCGAAAAATCTTTACAACGTTATTGAACCGCTTATTCTGGTTTAACCGTCAGCCTCTACTTCACGGTGACTATCCCAGCTATCCAGGCCCCGTATATCGTGAGCAAGTTCCCGTTGACATCGTGAGCTCGTAAGATGAAAAGTATGACCAGTTGATAAAACTTTATAGCTTCTCGTTTAGCAGCAATATCTATATTTTTGGGTTCATCCAGAAGATATCATATCACTACGTGGGAGTTACAAAAATACCGTTTTTATTTTGACATGTTATCCTATGAATATCATGCTAACTATGGAATAATTGAGTTTATCCCACGATTAATGTGTTATCTGTACAATAACAGCTACTGATATTTCTGATATTATTGAAATCCGTGTGATATTTTCCAGAAAATCGTTTATTAAACTCATATGCGTGTGATATCGTTTATCTCACGCATATCCGTGTGATATCACATTTGCATTTCGCGCCACAATATTGTTGGAAATTAGGTCAGATAATTTATTCTCTTTTGAGAAAATAGGTCCGTTATATATATATATATATCTTTATTTCCCATTTAGCATGGAGTACAAACATATTAAACATTTAACACAACAGTGAAAATTAACCAAAAACAACGACACAAAAACACATCTAAAAATTTAAGACAAGAACAAAAAACACACAAAAACATTTTATTCTCTTTAAGTTTCATTGGTGTATTGAATTACGATTGTGTATATAATTTGATAAGAAGGCTGCTAAATAATGATTAAAAAATGGTATTTATGACGAACTAGATCATGTACAGATATTCGAATTTCTAGTTTATATTGTCTGCCAATGTCCTGGAAATAGGATAGTTTCTAAATAGCAGAAAAATCAATGAAATCTCGTGCTGCCATCTTTTATTCAGCTTTTAACTCTGGCTAGAGCTCCATTCACTTACAGGCTAAAATCTTGGAAAAGTGGCTTAATTTCATGATTTATCAAAGTGTGTTTGTTGAATCTGTATAAAACTTGAATGATATACCACATGATGACCCTGTTTATGAACATGTTGTGATTAAACATGCTAATGTTGATTGACATACAAATAATCCACGGTTTTAAAGAATTTTAGCATTGCATCTATGGACATTTGGCCCAACTTTTTTTAAATTGTCATAGAAAATTATTCAAATTACATAACTGTGTAAATCAAAGCTATTTCAGGAGAAAACATTCCACTGAATTCAAATATACCATTTAAAAGAAGGTAATGTAAGTCATTAGAGGTCTAATATGCAAGTCTCTTAAAATCTCACGAAAAACGAGATTTAGCGAGATTTCAAAAGCTATATGGAAACTATACTATTGGATCAGAACATCACAAGGTGATTGTAATCATGGGATAAATCCAATATCACATAACTTCTCGTGATATCATTTTATAGCCTGAGATATCAAATATCAACACTCATTCGCTTCGCTCACTCGTGTTGATATTTGATATCAACTCGGCGATAGAAATGATATCACTCAAAATGATGTGATATTCTGTATTTATTCTACGCTTAGTGTACTAAATGTATAATACATGTAATAACATTAAAAATAAATTTGATATTTATTGGCAAAATGAATAATCGGAGGATATCGTGATGATATATAGAGGAAATATATATATAGGAAAATTAATATGAGATGTACATACGGGAAGTGCATATCATATTATGACATCATGGAGATCGTGGTATACTAATCTAGTAAATGATTTTATAAGAAGTTGTCTGCTTATAATCAAAGAAATTCAAAGAAATCTCTGAAATTGTAATCAGTAACTCTTCACGAGGAACATACTGGATATATAGAAAGAACTAGTGACTGGTATTTATTCTGGAAATAGTGCAAAAAGATTCCTCTTGAACCTATATACCCGTGAACACTTCGCTCGATGATGGCAATCTGCACGATTTTCTTAATTTATTTTTTCAGGTATAACGAAATCCTATTCTATTCTTATTCTACGACCAAGTCCACTTCCAAAGATCATACTATTGGGCACTTTGTGACAGTATGTATGTTTGAATTATAAACAGTTTGTCATCCATCAACTGACACATAGTTATTAATAAGGCCAATTACCATTAAGTTATCATCTGTAATAGGGAAGGGTGAATTTCAGTTTAGATTTTAGCAGATATCGTTGAACTGTGGCGGCTTTGTATAAAAAACCTCGTACCTCCTACCCATCTACGAAATATTTATGTAAGTGGTCAGTCATGGTCACTGACCATGACTGACCATCAGGCTTATGTTTAAATCAGTTTAGGCCCAACTTCTAAAAGACTCTCACAATTTCTCTTGATAATAAAATAAAAAGTATTTGAATAAAACAAAATATGAAATAGTCAGTTGTTTAATATAAAGGAGGTTAAAACCCTTTATAACAATAACTAACGACCGCAAGCATAGGTCCAACAACCCAGATAAAGAAATTGAAAGAAAGTGTGCTAAATTCGATGCCCCGAGTGGGAATCGAATCCAGCTGGGATGTAGTAGCAACTAGCTATCAAGGCAGTCTGTCGGCCGACGTTATAAACCCATTGTTGTTTACCGGTTTTTAAAAAAAAGTGCGTAGTAATAATTTCGGCATTTTCGAACTACTTGTTTACGCCCGATTGGGCATGGTCTTTAACGAGTTGTTTAGCAATCAAGATGTTACTTTAATAAAATAAAAATAGTATGCCTATAATGATAAGTACCTCCTCTATCTAATGGTGTATTTTTCAACTGCCCAAGACCACGGGAAATGGGTATAAAATGCGTTGGAAAAAGGGCTACTTTTAACTTTTTTGAACTTCGACTTTGTCTGATTAATTCATAGAATAATTTATTTTTATGATTCATTTTAGATCGTACAAAAGTTGGATAATGTATCGAAAATCATGCTCGTGAAAAAATTATTTAGATTCACTTAAAATCCAACGATCGTTACAGTTTTTACTAAACCTCAAACTTAAAACGGCTCATTTTTTACACAAATAACGTGTTTGACGACACAAATCACGGATCTATCTGTAGTTTCTATCTCTAAAGTTTAGGCATTTCGCACACCAAATAAATATTGTTATATAAAAATATGTATCACCCATTATTCGCGGAAGGTATTTAATTTCATGTATACGAAATATTTATCTGATCCGATAACGATTAAGTATTCATTTTTCAGTTTAAAAATACGAAAACTGCTAAAACTAAAGCTAAAACTAAAACTAATATTGAGACAAAAATTACGTGTGACGTAATTATTTCTTTAATCATGCATTTTCTTCATAGAAATCTGGAATTAATTTTAAGGATCAATATTTAATGCAAAATATATATAAGACGACCACAGCGTGAGCAATGTATCGAATTTTAGGCAAACAAAAAACAAGAATGATTCAATTGAACATGAAAAATTGTTACAGTTTTTACTAAAATGAAAACTCTTAAATGGCGTCATTTTAGCCCAAAATCCAAGTTGACGACTTAAATAGTTCACGGATGTACTTCAGTTGACATCAAGCTTGAACATGAAATTCGCCCATTGAAATTCCAAATAAAACGATCGAAATGACATAAGTCTCGTAAAGGCGTATTGAATAATGTGTACGCCAAATATCATATTATGAAATTGAAAAATCAATCTACGATAAGACACTTTGTAAATAGTATTAGGGTTTAAAGATACGGACATTTATGAACAATTAACCTATTCTAAAGACGGATCGTATTCATTTCTTAAAGACGAATGTTCGAAATTCAAATTCAAGATGCCCATTTTGTGTAGAAAATATGTTTTCATCCGATCACACTACACATGTTCCAAATAACAGCTAAGAGAAAATTCATTGATATAGGATGAAGTGGATGGATTTGGTACATTTCTTTGCAATGTGGGCGCATTTAAAACAGCGCCATATTTTACGGCACAATTTCCGCTGGCCTGTGAATCTTTTTTAGCGCGTCATTCCAATCGGAATGATGATTATATGTATAAATTCCGCATTTTTAGAATAGACAAGAGTGTAATTTTTTCCTCTTTCAGTTAAAATATTCTCATTTATGATATGGAATAGTTCACACTTCATGTACCATGGTACTAAAAATGTTATATGGACATTAAACTCACGAACACGTACTGTGCTCCAATTTTGACTGATTTATGTAAATCCAAGAGAATCGTCTTAGCTTCTTATGCGCGCTGTAAATGAATTTTTATACTAGTCTACATAATATTTTTCTTAATTGTTTCTCATTAAATTCGAAGTCATATAATAGAAACAAAATAGTATTTCAAATATTTTCCAGCTGTACACCAAACACCCACCAACTTAGATCATTATGTAAATGTTTGGGAGGAAAAAGAACAGTACTATATGGCTCAAATGACATTTAATGTCATGATGTATGTCCATTTTTGTGATATATTTGTCATGATCACTGTGTACTGAACTCAATAAGGAACTATAAAATGGCAACTCCACTGAGTAGCAAATCCCAACGAACACTATATAAATCATCAATCTGTACAGTCACAAAATAATATTTACCATCTACTCTTACCTTCAATAAATATATTAAATCATTGTAGCATCATGTAAATCTAAGAAATGGCGAATTTCTGCTCTAGTCAGCCATTTTGAATTTTCAAAGACGCAAATCAGAAAAACAATGCCATAATTGTGATCTACTCTGAAATACCTTCAATTTGAGTATAATATAGCCATACTTTTAAGAGATCAGAAAATAATTGCGAAATCACGCATTAGGCGGCCATTTTGATTTTTTAGGCCCCAATCAGAAAAACGCTACGATATTTACAATCTACTCTAAATTGCCTTTCATTTGAGTATAATAAAGCTATACATCTCAAAATTAACGCAAATTCCTGGTTTCTCAACCCCCATTTACGGCCCCTGGGGGTCAGGGTGAAAAACTCGGGATATATATGTGAAATAGACAGATGTTAATATACTGCCAAAATTTCAAATAATAATATTTATTATTTTGGTTTAAAATGAAAAACGTAAGATTTTTGTGAAAAATTCCCGGCATTTTCAAACTGGCGGCCATCTTGAAGAAAAATTTGCGTAAAACTATTCACCAATATACATCTTTCCATTAAATATGAAGAAAATCTGTTGACTAGTATTCGAGTTATCCTCCGGACAGACGGACGAATTCAAGTTCCAACATGAATACCAGGATAAGTTCTCTTGGCCTCCAGTGTGACTGACGGACAGACGGACGGACGGAGGGCTTTACTATATCCCTACAGAACTTCGTCCGTTGGGATAATTAAGATACAATAAGTATAGTAACATATACGTATTTACATTGCTTTATTTCTTTTGGTGTAGGGCATACTGATATAGGCCTACAACATACAACTTAATTGCAATACAATAGGAAATATGTCACAACTACTTGACTCTATGAATATAGCATTTAAAGCATTAATACAATGTGAAATTAAAAATGATATCATGTTGTGTTGCATAAATCATTAATTCAGGATCGGCAAGCAAATTTAGTTCTGTCATTTATTCAATTCAATTTATTTCATAATTCTTATTTAATAATATTTTATTAATATTACTTGTATAATCTTATTTTATCTAATATCATATCCATGTCTAATACCTAATAACCCAACATAAAGGACCAGGGTAAGTATGGCAAGTGATTTTAGAAGGTCATTATATCTTTCACCATGAGTACTTTCTCAAAACCTGTAAAGTGGAACACCTCTTTAAATGGAACACCTCCACAAGTGGAATTGTTGGAACTTCATTTGAAAGAAAGCACATTGTTTTAAATAAAAATTAGTACCGTGGGTACTGGGCTCACATGGTGTTGCTCAAAAGTGAATGATGGCTAAAATGACAGAAAATAAAAAAATGAATATGATGTTTTTGCTGATTTTTTGTAACAAAATTATTTCATACAACTACTCTTTACAAAGACATGGCTTTTACAATGTAGGACATCTGGAATTATTCGTAAAGCTAGGAAATGGGCCAAAAGTGAATTTCACAAGACAAAAATGGTGGCCGTTTTGAAAATAGGCGAGCTTTTGAAGCAGAAGTCACACACACTACCCTACCACGTGACCACGTTTAAAATGGAAACAGGGTACAGCTAAGTTGCAAATGGAGGACGTGGGTTTAATTCCATATTTCTGAACGTAAAATACATTTTACATTTATTTCTAGTGTTCTACCAGACATAGAATTGATTCATCAAGCAGTTTGTAGAATATTGTTGGCAAAAAAACCCTATAGGCAAAGATAGATAATAGTGGGCGCAGTGAAGCAAAACTCAACACAATACACGATACATTTCAGTAAATCTGTCAACGTACAGGGAGCATGTAAGTTTCCCTTCGAAAATGTTACATTGATATGTAACAAAAAAAAACAGTGAACTATTATTTCAACTGCGTGTCATCTTGTTATAGGTGGATACGTTTTCTAGTATGTTATTCAACTGTATTTTTGTGAATTTGAACAAAACATTCTAAATGATCGGTTTTTGAGGACGGTAGTGAATTATACCATTCAAGGGGTTATATAGAACGATTCTTCACATGTAGTTCAGGCAATTTTAATTATTCTGAGTAGCGGATAGCCATTAATACTGATAGCGGATAGTCATTTATATAATTATCATTAACGTCTTAACATTTAATTTTGTTATTTTATTTCAATTTAATACCCTAGTAACACGTATAATCTAGCGTTCTTGTTTATTTTATGACTAAAATGCATACGACCTGAAAGCCTGTGTCTAAATCTACAAAATAATGTTTACTTTATTTGGATTAAATAACAATTGATGACACCCCAAAGCATCAACAGGCGACCTTTTTAGCATTACTTTCACTGTTTGCAGCGTAAATGTACATGAGGTCGGAACATAGTATGTCTGTATAATCAGCTTACTTTCTCGCTCCCTGTACTATTGAACAATTTACATTCCTTGTACCCTGTATTGATCATCTTTTGCAATTGTGTACCGTGTACTATGACATATCAAATATTTTAA